ATTGCATATTTATTTGAGTCACTTCTGAAGAATTAAGCTGTGAACACTCATTCATTTGTTAATTGGAAAACTAAAATTGAGAAAACCAAATGAGCAACAAGTTGAAAAGGAAGAAAATGAATCAGAATAAAACCCAAATGTGACATAGAAGATAAAATGCTAACATGGCAAGAGATATGTTTAGGAATAAGTAAAGGAGCTATTTTGTTGACAATAAAATGGGACAGCTAAAATTGTCTCTTTTAATTTTGTAGTATTTTTTCAGATTCATGCATATAAGAAAGATAAAAAGCTAGTGAGAGACAAAGATAATTGTATACAATGTGACATACAACGTAAATATTTAGATGTTCAACTTTTATCTTGCATGGCTAACATAAGTAACAATCTCTGCATTATCTAAAAATGGTATTGAAAGCAGGTCACCATTCACTAGGAGAGGAGTGGAAAAGTCCTATGGGGACATTCAATTTCCAGATACTGACATAAGCTTTGTAAGCTCTGGAAGGCCAAGTACAGACCGCTTATTCCCTTCCTTGTATAACAACTCAGAGTCAGCATTTTCCAACCCTCGATTATCATACAGCTCTGACACTGATGGAAATTATAGCTTTGAATCAACTCATTTTGGAAGGAGGTCTATGGATGTCAGCTCTGATTTCTCATCCTTCTCACATGATAGTGAGGGATTATCATCCACTGCATCACAGGGCATGGTAAGGAAAGAAAATGCATGCAAAGTGCATTTTTATGTCCTGTATTACTTGTTCATGTGTTAGTAGTTCTCCCACTGATATAAGAGGGCCAAAGAATTTCATAATTTATATAGCTATTCCAAAGTGAGGGAGTACATTTTAAAGGACAAAGTGCATTTGTAGCCACTGATTTGATAATCAAAGATTGACATTGTGATACATCACAAATATAACAAACAATTTAGTTGTTAAAATCTCAACCATAAATTGGAAAATCAACAGCTATACAAGTACTTTATCAGAACTATACAATAATATATCATCAAATTAATATTTTACTATAGTTTAGCATATGTTAGTATACTGTTTAACAAACTTCATAGGCAATTAAGCAAAATGTTTCATAATATTAACAATACAGTATCATTAAAACAACAAATGTCATAAACACGATTAAAATCATTGTTCAATATACCTAAAACTGTAGATTAAGCAAAGTTAGTGGAATTTAACAATGTTTACTTAAAGGGTTTAGATGACAAAAAGAAAATTTTAAGGGGAGTAGTTGAGAAAGTATTAACCTACATGGCTTGAGTGTAGTTTATCCTGGAAATATATGATCAAATATTAACTATTTCAGTTACTTATAATGTTATTTATTGATTCCTGATTGCTCCTACCTTGGGGGCAAATCATGTCTTGCAAGTACAGGATGATGTGGAAGCTGAAATGAGAAGACTGAAGTTGGAGCTCAAGCAAACAATGGAAATGTATAGCAATGCCTGTAAAGAAGCACTCACAGCACAGCAAAAAGTATAAAATAATTTCATCTGCTTCCTCAGCTAAAAAAGCACAAAAAGATCTGACTCTGTCATGTTATGCAATGCATCACAGGCTGTAGAACTCCAGCGCTGGAAACTAGAGGAAGAAAGGAGATTGGAGGAGGCAAGACTTGCTGAAGAAGCTGCATTGGCAATCGCAGAAAAGGAGAAGGCAAAATCAAGAGCAGCCATTGAGGCTGCTGAGGCACAGAAGAGGATTGCAGAAATAGAAGCACAAAAGAGAATTAATGCAGAATTAAAAGCATTTAGAGAAGCAGAAGAGAAGAGAAAAGCAGTTGATGCTTTATCAAGCCAAGATGTGAGGTATAGAAGGTACACAATTGAGGAGATTGAAGCTGCAACAAATTTTTTTTCTGAGCAACTGAAGATTGGAGAAGGAGGTTATGGTCCAGTTTATAAGTGTTTTTTGGACCATACACCTGTTGCAGTTAAGGTTCTACGTCCTGATGCAGCACAAGGAAGGTCACAGTTTCAGAGAGAGGTAAGTAGACATAAAACTGTCTGCCCACATATGCAACACTTCAAATTCAATATCATATATAGAAGTTTTGGTTTCAACCAAAAAACCAAATATGGGGTTTTGAGTATACAAGTCAGGCAAGGATGAAAGGGCTAAAGATATATGGCAAAGATATACACAAGATTTATGAGATATTCATAAATAACTTCTCTTAGGCTTGTCTAATTTTAGAGATGTGACACTTTGGTTAACAACATAACGATTTTAAATACTTATAAAAAGAAACATAATGGCTTCAAATTGGTAAAGTGCTTCTCTAAAGTGAAAAAGGCTTCCAATGCCTCTAAAGTGTACAACTAGGGTGGAGTTGCCATTGATTTAAATTAAAGTTCATCTTGTACTTAACCTACTCACCTTTACCTGTGAACATTAGAGGCTTTCTCACTTTAGAGGAATCATATCCGATAAATTGTGATCTGTGACTGCAATTGCAGCCAAATTACTGCAATTTTAATTTTAAAGATGCCTGCAACTGTAACAAGGTCACAACTTGAACCACATTTACCTACAACTTTCAAAAATTTTAGTACAACACCAATGTTACAACAATCACAACCACAGTTAAAAACCTTATGCACATTACAGGTTGAGGTTTTGAGCTGCATTCGCCATCCAAACATGGTTCTCCTCCTGGGAGCCTGTCCAGAATATGGCTGTCTTGTATATGAGCACATGGCAAATGGAAGCTTAGACGATCGCCTCTTTTGCCGAGGAACCACTTCTCCAATTCCTTGGCAACTGAGGTTCAAAATTGCAGCTGAAATAGGCACAGGCTTGCTGTTCCTACACCAGACAAAACCTGAGCCTCTTGTGCACAGAGACCTTAAACCAGCCAACATCTTGCTAGACAGAAACTATGTGGCCAAAATCAGTGATGTAGGTTTGGCCAGGCTAGTCCCTCCCTCTGTGGCAGACAATGTGACACAGTATCGCATGACATCAGCTGCTGGAACATTCTGTTACATAGATCCTGAGTATCAGCAGACAGGAATGTTAGGTGTGAAATCTGATATATACTCTCTTGGGATCATTTTCTTGCAAATTTTGACAGCAAGACCTCCAATGGGTTTGACTCATCATGTTGAGAGAGCCATTGAGAAGGGCACATTTGTTGATATGTTGGATCCAAAAGTGAATGATTGGCCAGTAGATGATGCCTTGAGCCTTGCAAAGATTGCTGTCAGGTGTGCTGAACTGAGGAGGAAAGATAGACCTGATCTTGGCAAGGAAGTGCTACCTGAACTAAATAGGCTAAGAGCACTTGCTGAAAATAGTGATCAGTATGTTATGTTTAGTGGCTACTTTAGCCCATCCAATCAGAGCCAAGTTTCTCTTCAGCTGGTAAGGTTCTTTCAGTTAATGTTGGAATTATTAGGGCAGGGGTCCTTAGAAGAGTATTTTTTGAACTTATTTATACCTTATAATGCTCAAGTGGCATTTTAATGAGTTTATGAGAGTAAATTATGAGTTTATCGTAAGCACTTCATAGCTTATTTGAATAAGTTTAAGGTGAAACTTATGATGAGCTTCTATTGAATAAGTGATTTATTAAGTTGTTTACCTAAATGTGACCTTATTTAGTATGACAAGCTTATGACACATGGAAATAATTTGCAGGATGGAAACAGTTCTCCACTTCCTTATTCTGGGGAGAGCTCAAGAAACACATCAGGTCCTGTCTGACATTCACTCAAAACAAGATCTTCTTCAGCAAAATAGATAGTATGTTCAGTGGAAATGATCTCAAGGACAAAGTGTAAATTATATAGGTGAATTATGATGTAAGAGGGTGCATGATTCTTTCATTTTGTGCATGTGATTTTTGTTTTCTCAGTTTAATTTAGATTGTAAAAACAGAAAAGTTCTAGTGTAAGGACATGAACCCAAACTACTACACTACAGGGACTGCTTGGTCCGGACTTGAATCCCAATCAAGTTATTTTGCATGTACTTTAAACTACTATAGTTCTTATAAAATGTATAACATTTTCTTTAGTTACAAATGTATAACATTTATACATTTCATGATTTTTTTAATAAAAAAAATTATTTGTTGGTTCTTCAATTTTTATCCCTAGTTAGAACAATGATTAGCAAAGCCATCCTTGTTACGGAGTTAGATTCTTGAATGTCTCACTAAAATATTAATGATGGTTTTGTTAACATCATTTTTAAATGATAATTTTAAGCATATAAAATAAATACTTGTAAATAAAAATTTATCAATTTTAGTTTTTAAAATCAATCTTAAGGATAAAGTGTAAATTACATAGGTGAATTATGATTTAAAAGGGTGCATGATTCTTTTATATTATGCATGGGACTTTTGTTTTCTCAGTTTTAATTTAGATTGTAAATACAGAAGAGTTCTAGGTAAAGACATGTTTAAATCTATCTATTAATAAAGAATATACTAAAAAGAGTAAAATGTTAGCACTTTCTTAAATGATAAAAACACAACATTCATGTGAGGTCCCGTAAAACCTAGAAAAAATATGAAATCATTATTATTATTATTTACACAGATTCAATCGAGGTTAGACAAATAGATTATTGTAATTTTAAAAGTCAAAATTCTTGGAATACTATTGTTCACAGGTTACAAAGACTACCATGCAGAGTGACATGTGAAACCCAAATGTGCAACAAGGATAGTTGCAACTAAACAAACTGCATGACGAGGACAATAATATTTTGACAGATGGCTAACCTGTGAACTTCATGCCGCACCTATTCCTTGCATATATATTTTAAGGGCACAAAATAAAGACAAATTGCTGAATTTTATTTGTAGTTTAAACTAAACTATCTATGTATTTCAAAAGTTCATTTGCTCAAACTTGTATCAATATTTTCTTCAAAGGCACCGTTCTAATGCAACAGTCTCTATTGAACAGTCGCAAAATCTAGTATTAAAAATAAATTAGTACAACACAGATATGAGAAAGGTAATGAATAGGCTTTATAATATGAATTTCCTGTGCAAGTCTCTTGATCGGCTTTATAGTATACAAAATGACAAAAAGAATTATCAACCCTTAGGCTGATCAAAATCAAAGCTTTCAGGGTTCAATCAAGTTCAACGGGGATTCCGTATAACAGTATAATTATATTTCTATCTAAAATAAATATCAGATTAGCCTAACGTTGTATACAGTTACACCAAGAAAAAAACATGCAACAAAATTTCAAGAAAAATAAATAAATATACATTTGGCTCCAAAAATGAATCTTCCAGGACTCGTCTGGGACTTGGATTTGCAAACCCTTTGATTGGACAATCGGTGGAAATTGCTAGTAGCAGCTAGAGGCAGATATTAACGTTCAATCACGAGAAAAATCCGCACTTATGCATTACAAAACTTAGAAGGCTTCAATAGCTTCAACTTCAACTTTAGGTTTAGGTTTGCCTTTTGGTCGACCAGATCGTCTCACGTTTTCACCAGATAGAAGTTCAAGGGCTTTTTCCAGGGTGACATCAGTTGGCTTCATATTCTGAATGCCAAATAAAAAAATAAAAATAAAAACCCTCAAACAGTATACGCTGTTAAGACCCACGCCAATTAAATTAGCATAACAGACATCAATATTCAATAGGAAAATGAAGTTTACACTAGATTTGGATCCATTTTTAGTCTAAATCATACCTATTGTCTTCTCAGGTTGATGTATCACTTCATTCCTTTAAATTTTTTCAATACAAATTTAGTTCTGACTTATTTCTTCAAGCCGAAGTTTTCTTTTACCTTTGTTTTGTCTCCAAACTTAACAGTAGTATTTAAAATAACAATATTTTGAACAAGGATTTTTTCTTATTTTACATTTCTTATGCTTTCCACTATCAAAATCATCATCCAAAACTCTCAAACCACCACTACAAACTACTTCTTTAATTTCCACAAATTATTCCTTACCAATCACTTGTTTCTATTTTTTTTTTCTTTTTTATAATAAATACCCACTATCAAACCATCATCATTGATAACACGTCATACATATATCATTGTCATTGTTAATTATCTCCATTATGAACCTACATCGACTTCTAACACCAAAACATCCTTTAAATCAGTAAAAATTGAAAGATAGAACGAAGTTACAAGAAAATTTTGGCACAATAAAATAAGGCAAACTTAATACCTTAGTCCTCAAACTTTATTTTTTGTTTTGATGTAGTTCTCTGATGTTTTTGTTTTTTTAATTTTGGTCCTTAATCATTTTGTTTGGTTTCAATTCCATCCTATTTGCTAATTGTGACAATCTTACTGTAGTAATAAATACAAACAAATTGAAACTAAACAAAGTTAGAAGATCAAATCAAAACGAAAATGGTTAGAAGACCAACATATTAATTTTGCCAAAAAGTAATTCAGTCATCAGTGAACTAAATTGAATCGAAAAAAATTTGAAAAACTAAAGTAAAATTTAAATTAAACCTTTAAGATTAAATTGAGTTAAAAAAAGTTAAGCATATTGAAATTTCAATTAAACTTTAAGGACAAATAATTAGTTTCTTAAAACTGTCCCTAAAGACTAATGTAAACAAATCCTAAAATTTAAAGAATACTAGCAACATACTTTCTACTACACTCTTTTTAACACACTCCTAATTATTGATTAAAATTTATCTAAATCTACAAAAATCGTGTAGGTCCCACTTTTTTCTCACCTAATTTTTTTTTTTCATACTTTTATAGTTTTCAATAAATTTTAGCCAACAATTAAAAGTGTAGTATGTTAGAAAGTGTTTCTATCATTCCTCAAATTTAAATCCTCATCTTCAAGGCGTGGCCCCATCCTTGGGCAGAGAAGAATAAAGGACAAAAAAGACCATATACCAAAGAAAAAAGGAAGAAAGCAAAAAGTTCTTTACAACAGCCTATCACCCTTAATGACCAAACTATAGAATCAATTTCTCAAACAAAACCACAGAGAAAAAAAATAACAAATAAGTATCCTTCAATAAATGTCTTTTCTAACATTCGTTATAGATGGTTGTTTGCTTGAACACCAAAAGGCAAGAGTTAGAAAAGAGCAATGCTACATGCTTTTTGTTTTCTTAGTATTACAACTTTTATATCATTAATGCAGTTCATCCTAAAGGACAGGACTGTAATTGAGTTAAACCAAACTCAATTTCTAAAATCAAGGTTATCTAAACTCAAATTTGCAAATGCACTGAAATACGCTCAATTGCTAACTCTACTGCCGGAGTTGCAAAGATAGGAAGAAAAACTAAATCAAAAAATAAAAAAATCCTAAAACTACAATCATACCTTAGGAACAGAAGCAATCGTGTGTCGATGTCTAACACAAAACCCAACTCTTGCAAGCTTTAATGTGACAGGCCGTCCATCCTTGGGATGTTTACCCTAACCACAAGCAAATTAACAAGTTCAAAAATGACTAAAAAGAGGCAAATCAGATTTGTTAAAATGAAAAACAACAGCAACACACTCAAATTTGGCTAAATTTTATCTAAGATCAGAAAAACCATGCAGGTCTACTGCCTAATTTAAAAATTCTCACTCATACTTATTTATCAATCTAAATCAATGTTATCGGATGACGGCTTATGGCGGGAACTCAAAAAATTGCCATAAAGTTATGGCGGCCGCCATGGCAGGTTATGGCGGATATAATAAAATATATAAAAAATACTATAGGCCATAGAAAATGATAAAAAATAATTAACTCAATATATCTAATATAACTCACAGTCCAAGGCATAATTCAATACAAAATATTCAATTATCAAACATGAAGTTAACATTAAAATAAAAGATGATCAATTTAGTCCTCTTCTTCAACTCCAATATAATCATCTTGTTTGTCATCCACCAAGGCATATCCCTCCTCCTCTTCTCCCTCAGATTGTAGAAGATTAATTTTTAATTCATCTTCTGCTTGTTTTGACATCTCTTCTTCTTCTAATTCTTCCTCATCATCTTCAAAAACCATTTTTTCTTTTCCTTTTGCTGTTGAACATGTTTTGATTTTGGAAACTTTTGCAACTTTGATAGTGATATCACTTTTTTTTATAGGAAAAACAGAGAAAAACCAAATATGTGGAAAAGGAAAAAATTGAAAGATGGAAAGGATAAAATTGAAATTAAGAAAATAAAGAACAAACTGCGAGAGGGGAAAAAAAAGAAAAAAATGGCTACCGAAAAATATGAGATCGCCGGAGACGGAGGTTCAGGTCGCCACAGATGGAGATGGAGAACAGAGTGGCAAAAGTAGAGGGTAAATCTACTTTAGATTTTACTTTAACTTATGTCACTACAGTCAACACTTGTTTCAAGAAGAGGAAGGAGCAACTTACCACCTACCAAAGTGGGATGGCAAGATTTTAAAATGATTTCCTTTTTTTTACTAGTAAATCGAGTATCTTGGATCAATTATAAAGTAAACATGGGGACGGCTTGACTGTACAACATGTAGTCTTGGTCATGCATTAAATCTTGGGAGTAAGAAGGAATGATAGGATAGGTTTTAGGGATCAAGTGGTGGCAATTGAATGGCAAAAATAACAGAGCTTTCAGTGAAGAGTTATGGAGAGTTGTGAAACACAAGTGCAATATTATGTGGGACAAGATGGTCAAAGGGAATATAAAAATAGTACATAAAACTCTTGGGGAATCAAGAAGTTTTAAACCTAAGAATAAAGAATCTTGGTGGTGGGATGCAAGAGTATGTGATAAAATTAAGGTAAAAAAAATTGTTATAAAGTATTATCGCCGTGTAAGAACATTCAAAATTGAGAAGAATATTAATGAGAACCAGGAAAAAACTACACCACAAAGCATAGTTGTAGTAGTTGGAGATCCCAAGGCTTTACAAACTTCACACTAGAAACCCTTATAATGTGCGATTCAAATCTTATGCCATATAATTGAATCTTAACATTCCACCAGGCTCTGCAATCCCAACACACCCATGTGGGCTGGCTATGCACTAGTCCTTTAACTAGTCTTAGGCAAACACTACAATGTTGGCATTACTACATGTGTTGTTCATTTACAGCTAAGAGACAAGATGGAAGGTTCTGTTACCAATTCACAAAGACTTCAAGAGAACCACACCACAAAAACTAATTGTTATAATTGGAGAATCCAAAGCCTTATAAACCTCACTCTAGAATCTAATACTTCTAATATAGGACTCTAATCTCATAATTTGCAATTAAATCCTATAACCGCAGGATTACACCAAGGGTCAGATTTGAGCCCTTATCTCTTCAACATAGTCGTGGATGATCTTATTGAACAAATCTAAGAGCCAATAGCACGATACAACCTTTTTGTTGAGAAAATAGTTCTGGTTGGAGAATCAAGAAAGAAGTGAGAAGTTAGTGATGCAGAAATGATCTTTGCTACATCAAAGCTTCACTCAAGTAGAAATAATATGTAGCATACGAAATGTAAGTTTAGCAAGCAGTGAAACAACTCTAACATAAAGGACAAGTTATACATTTAAGGCGTAGATATAAACCATTAGGTTAAAGAAGGGTTAAATGAAACACAGAGATGCATCAGGTTTCTTTCATTTATGATAAAAAGGTACTACTAAAACTTAAATAAAAATTTTACCATAAAACTAAATATTGAGCAGTAAAAAGAAAATGCACAGTAAATAAGAAGGATTAAGAGGTTAATAGTTTGTCTATAAAGATGATATATGATAGAACATTATGACGTTGCTTGATCCATTAGTCAGCGTTACCTAATGGGGAAAGGCTTTGCTTGTTCTTTTGAATGAAAAAACTTGTCTCAAGCAATGCAATCCTTTATGGAAAACAAAACATCCATATACATAGAATATGAACACCAAGTGGATATTCTAACACATCCCCTCAAGCTAAAGTTTATTAAGCTTTAAACTTGTTAGAAATAAACTTTTTAAGAAAAAGATAAGTATACAATGGGAACCACTATACACAGTTGAAAAGACAATATAGGGCTGCTGGAAAGACAACACAACAAAATGGATGGAATGATCATCAGCCTGAAGAACTATAATACTCCAAATTCAGCAAGAACTTAAAACACAACAAACTTAACAGGGAGATAATACATCTGAATGGTAAAATGCCAGCTAAGGGAGCAAAAAAATCTGAGAAATCAATAATAAACGTAAGAATAAGTTCAAATAGACCAAACATATGTCTTCACAGTTGGGGTTTGACACAATTGAGAATGTGGTTTCAGCTGGAGATTCCCACATGGGAATGTGGTGGTTAAAGAATGATACAAAAGAGAACATAGAGGCAGTTGGAGATTGAAACTGCTGAGAATCTATGAAAGAAAAGATCACATATCACTAATAGAGAGGTATTGAGGGACTATTGCCAGAAAAGATTGTCAAAATTTCATAATGAAAATCACCAAATGTCCATTGAAAAAGTTGCTTGAAATTTCCCCAGTAAGCAAGGTTTGTTGGAAGAGGCTGCCAGAAAGTTTGCCATAGCTGACACCAAAAAGTTCACCAACAATGACCACATGCCAGAAGACGTCATTAAAAAAGGGCAACAGCAGAGGAAGAAGCTGGCAAGAAAAAGGTGAAAGCTGCATTGTCTCGCTATTTGCACCAGAGCACATGACTAGAAAGAAGAAATAAAAAAGCTATGAACACTCCATATTTTAGGAGGGTAGCAGCAAAATTGTGACAGAACAGTACACACAGGAAGGTACCCTAAGATACCATGTTGAATTTGCTTCCGTATGCAGAACACTCAGATGTATAGACTAAGTGGACACAACTTCCTAGGCTAGGTTATATTAATTCTTATGAACACTAAATGCATTTAACATAAAATACACAAGACAAATGAACCACGTCTAACAAACATGATTAGTACATATTGTTCAAACAGAAAATTGAGAAGCATACCAATGTCAATGGATATTGTAGTAAATCAAGTGCATCTTCAAGGGTGATAGAACCCACATCCTTGATCTGCAACAACCGAAATTCTGTTACTTCTTTCCTTTCTTTGAAAGATATAAAAATTGGTTTTGTTTGCACAAGAAGCTCTTAAGCCATCACCCTTAAAAAACAGACAAGGCGTCAACCAGAGTTTGCACAAAAGCATGCACGGCATACTTACTCAGCTGCCACATTCAAAGAGGAAGAAGAAAATTTTCATGTACTATGGAAACAAATAGCCACATTATATAACATAGTCTTAAAACAAATCACGATCCCTTCTTCACCCAAATAAAAAATGCAACCCTAAAAAATAGAATTTAAAAATGACTTCATTCCAGTACAATTAGCAGATAGCTCAAATGATAGAATATGGTCAAGTACATGTACTAATAACTATAGGAAAATCAATTTGTGATTGTGAATCAAATAAATTTCATGTTTACCTTCAATTGGATTATTCAGCAGACTGCATTATCATTTTCAAAAGTCTAATTCACATCTTCCATTTAGGTAATGTTGAGAATAATGTATGCAAGTACTAACTACACAGATATGCAATTTTAGATAAAAAATATCACGTAGATATTATGTAATTATTATACATTATTACAAATCCATAGCTCCAATGTGTATTCCAACACACGGATTCATGCTATGTCTTCTTGTTTCTCTCTTTCTCAACAGCTAAGACAGCTACAACCTGGGCACTGGGTCCAATGTGAGTAGGATCACTTAACTAAGCCTTATAATTGGAAAAAAAAAATACACGTCACTCAGCCAAAGAAAGATGATGGGGAGTTGGCTGAAATGGGCATTAAAAACTTTTCAGTAAATCTCCTCCAAATCACTAGTATGGCTATCAAAATTATGAGCATCACCATGTAGGTTCCAGATCCAATTAGTAGTATCAGGTCCTAGGTCCATTGGCTAATTTATAATTTAGACTGTGGTTGAAAGATAGAATTTAAAGAGAGCAAAGAGTGAGACTTTAAAGGAACTGAAAAATCTCTTTGGCAGAAAGATCATTTTGAAGATTAAGGTTGATTCTGATCAAGCAATCAAGTTAGGAGTTGTTATTATTGATTTTATTTAGGAATTACTGTATCAGATAATATTTTTAGGATCATAATTTTTCCTTCCTTAGCTGAGTTTATCCCTAATTAGCTTTGGATGGTATGATTCTATCCAATTCTGGTGTTTCAAAACTGGGCCCAGAAATCATGGGTGAATATTCTCACCCACTGCATATATTGTATCATTCTATGACCATAGACTGAAGCAAATTCAATTATCTAAATTAGTTTAATTTCATCAAGGGATGCATAGCAGGGACAACGTAAAAGGAATTAAAATCAAAATTACTTTCAGTGCACCTATATAACTGGAAAATACAGATGAGCAAAATTTAACATTTGCATAAATAATCAACATATCCTTATGCATAAGGTCTCTAAGAAAAATATCATTTTCTTTGAATTTTCAATAGCAAAATTTTATTTTTCACCTCATTATCACCTTCACCCCCTCTCTAAAATGTAAATAACACTTCCCTATTTCACCTACACAAACACCCTTATAAACTTCAACCAAATCTTTAGTTTCCCATTATAATTCATTTAAAAATTTCAGAATTATTGTTTTCTTTTTCATTTTATTTTAATTTTGAGAACACATTGATTTAGTTCAGAGTTGAGAACATTCACTTGACAACCATACGACTTTCTATCCATTATCATTATAAACTTATTCTCTTCTACATACATTGTTTAGACTTTACCGTCAAATTTTAACTGTATCATTCTCTCAATTTGAACCCTAAAACTTTCCCCTCTTCCCTCCTAACTATCACAGTTATAGTTCAAACAGTATTTTAACTCATTTTACACTAATAAACTATATATTTGCAGCAAAAGTAGTTTGCTATCTATATCTCCTTTTCTAATCTCCACAAATTTCAGGAATTCCATCCTCGTTCAAGGCTCTGTTAGGGTCTCAGACATAAAATCAAGAAAAGACTGAACAGTATTGACAATTTTTATTGATCTCTTTAGCAAGAACCAACATTACAAGAATCCCACCGAGCTGTCAGCTCCTGTACAGAAGCTAAGTTCTCCCTAACAGTATTTACAGAAAAACAAAAGGTCTCCTTAATCCGGAATCTAACTCTATTTATAGGATCTATTAACCATATTAACAACTAACCAGCAATTGACTCTTTCCTTCCCTTCCTCCTAACATAAACCTTCCACATTTTAAGTCTCTTATTAGTATCAATCATATGTTCTTCTGCCATGGTTCCAACAGGATCATATAAACCTTTGTATTACTATTATAATACAGCATAACAAGCAGGCAACCAACATAAAAACTGATAACTTTTCAAGAAACATGGGAGATACAAACTTCTTTTTGTCACAGATAGAAACTAACAGAATAACTGGCATCAATAGCCCAAAATAAAAAGTAAAATAAAATGACTCAAAGTTGAAAATGTCAATGAGACATACATGAGAGACAGAGGCTCTTTTAGGTATGTATCCTGTCCTGTCTTCTCCAAGTTGAACATAGAATCCAAAAGGACCAGTTTTCAAAAGAACCTGAGGTAAACATAGTGCCAAATGCATACCGTTTAGCAGTTTGAAAAAAATTACGACAGTCCTTTACAACATATAACCAAAGCTAGGACTTAAGCAAACCTTTTCATTTGAACCACTATTAACACCTAGGACTATTGGTTCCTCTACTTTAATGCTTGGCTGAGGTATATCCTCCTCCTCCTCTGTACCGTATAATGTTTTAGCAATGTACCTGTATTCAGCAATCGCAAGAACCACTCATAATGGATGAATTTCTAAACTTTAGCACAAATACTGCACAAGGTAAATGCAATGTTGTAAAAAGGTCATCAGCACATTCACAAAATTTTAAGAGACTAGAGACTAGCACACCCCCTATCAATCATGTATATGAAGCATACAATTCAATGTATGCATCTAGGACAATTTGAATCACCAAAAAAGAAAAAACAACAATAATAATAGCACAAAAACAATCAATTCAAAATAGAGGCTTTAACCAAACAAAAAGTACCAGGTAGTAATCATAATGTTTCTTCCAATACATGACTGCTCAAAACAAACAACAACAATAATAACCAAATCTTATCTCACTAAGTGAAGTCAACTACATAGATCGCACAACGTCATTAAGCTCGATCAAAAATCAAATTTTCATAAATTTAGTTAATCAAAAGTTCTTTTCTAATAACTTCATCTAAGATTCTTTTGGTTCTCTATCAATTCATCTTTATCAGACTAAAAGTCATGCAATTCACTCTCCTTACTAACACCTCCAAAGATCCTCTCTGCATATGACCAAATTACCTTAAACAATTTTCAGTCATCTTTTCCACCATAAGTGTTACTTTAATATTCTCTCGTATACTATTATTTTGTATCTTGTCTTCTTTTGTGTGTCCACTCATCCATCTTAGCATTCTTATTTCTGCCACTCTCATTTTTTTTTCATGTTGTTTCTTTAAGGCCCAACATTCACTACTATATAAGATTATTGGTCATATTGTAATACGATAAAACTTTCTTTCCAGCTTGATACATACATTACAATCATAATAACTCTTAATGTCTTTCTCCATATCACTCAGTCAGTATTATGTGACTAACATCTTCATTAATTTTTCCATCATTTTCTATAATTAATCCCAAGTAATAATTTGCTCGAAAAAAGGGGCGGAAAACATTCCACAGGACCCATTTCCTATTTCAAGTCAAATAATTTGCTAGTTGAAGGGAACAGCACATCCAGCAATGAACAGTATAAAATTTAAAGCACAATATTCAGAACAAATTTTACTAGTAATAGTAGATAAAATGTGGATTAAAATGCCAGGTTTCAGTCATTTATCTCTTAGTTTTTGGTGGATTTACATGCGATCATGATGTCTACTTGGATCCCCAAATGTCCTTTTTCAGTATATAAATTACATATCTCTGAATGCCACAGATTTATGCTTCATTATTTATTTCTATCACAAATTACAATAATCAAACTGGATTGAACTAAATGTGTAAATTAGCACACAAGTACAACATTGAATAGATCACCTATCAGTTAAGTCAGAACTTAGAACCTACAAACTAAATGTGCAATAATATACTCACTTGCACCTCGGATGTTGATCACAGCCTATAAAGTAGCCAGCACCAAATCTACTTACTTTAAAAATAAGTGTGCCTTCCATACAACTGAAACAAGTTCAATCAAAGCATCAAGAGAATATCTAACAAACAAGTAATGCAGCATATAATGAATGTAATCACCATGTCATTTACTACAAATAACTAAATCAGCATAATCACAACACAAAATTAACCTAGTATAATGAAAACATTACAAGAAAAGTTCATATGGTTTTTGTTTAGTATTTTAGTCTTCTCTGTAAAATGTCAGCTCCGCTCTGGTGCTGGATCAGTAATAACATATTCTAAGAACATAGTATAAAGCCATCATTCTTGAAAAATGCCAAGCGAAATTTCATAATAGCCACAAAACAATGTAAGAAAACTTATGTGGCCAATAAACTGCAACCCATCATTTGTATTAGCTAATTCCACCTATAAAATGGAATAATTTACCTTGGACACACCCGACTCTGATTTGGGAGAGAAGCAAATAAATAATCCCCAAATTTTTTTTCCAACATCTTCTCAACCTGGAAGTATAAAAACCGTCTCATGAGTAAATAACCAAAAAAGAAAAAATAAAAAACCACTATTACTGAATATTTAAACATAGAAAATTCATTGAAAAACATTTCCATTGCCATATAGAGCATAGCACCAAAATGAGAATTTTAGATCTCCAAATATCAAGCCCCGAGTGAAGAGAGATGTCACACCTGATGAATATGAACATTAGAAGTACGCTCACAATATGATTTAAAACGTGTCCAATAGTCTCTAAGGAGGCCTTTCCATTCAGTTAATCCAGCAGAAACATTATCAAGCTGAATCAAGAATGAGATATAATTATAAGAAATACAAAATAATATTAGGCAAATAACAACACCCAATCATAGTAGATACCTCAGTTTCCATATCTGCAGTGAAATTGTAGTCTGTGACCTCTGAAAAATGATTTGACAGAAAAGCTGAAACCTAAACACACCCCAAAAAATGGCATAAAATACTCATCATATACCACAGTTCATCTAACGCTTTTGCAAAGCAAAAATTGACAATGGAAAAGTCTAGCATGAATTAAGTTAAAATTTTCAAAAAAGAGAAGGAAAGTTTATACCATTCCCCCATATCTCATGAGCAGAAAAGATTTGTGGGGAATTAAATTAAAAGGCTCATTGATATGAGATTATTGCGCAATTAGAATAAGGACGGCACTGATAATTTTTTAAGTACTTGACCTTCATATGATGCGAAATTCATCCTTGCTTTCTAATGGCCTTTTCTATTTTTTATGGAAACCAAGATAAGATATTTTTAAACAGGTTGAATTCTTTTATGGATCCCAAGAATGACACTTTATATATAAAGCAGCTGAATGAGAGAAAGGCAGCAGGAGAAATATTCCCACAGCACTTACCAATGGAATTAATATAGCAGTATAACATGGCCAAGCAAATGTACATTATATTATTATAATAAAAAAGATATGTGGTTGTTAACTCCCATAAATTGTAGTTTTTTGGGCATAAATTATGATATTATTTGGCTTATTAATGTTTAAGGTTATCCATTAAAGTCATAAATATATTATAGAAGATGAATTTATATAAATCTTTTTTAAAAAGTTATTTGACATATTAATACTTATTTTGGATATTTGAGGATATTTTTACTAGCTAAATTAAACTTCAGAAAGACCAAGGATAATTTCAAGAAAGCCAAGGAATTGATATGAGAAGACTAGAAGTCCCCAAAGAAATCAAGAAAGTCCAAAGAGATCAAGAAATTTTGAAAAAGAAAAAAAGCAAGTCTAGTTTGTACAAGAAGGCAGCGCAAAAAAATTTCAAGATTTTGACTATCAATTTGCCTTGCATAGCAATTTATCAACACAAGTCCTAATAATTGCGATTTGCACCAGATCTCATGAACACATGGGATTTAGTTTAGACAAAGAACATAGCTTCAATTGATCTAGACATGGGATTTTTACTAAATTAGAGTTTTTGCTAAAATACCTTGTTCATAAATAATTATGATATGGAATCTTTACACATACCCAATTGACATAGGGGATCAACACGGGTTCCTAGTCTGTAGAAAATGCATTTTCCCTTAATCTCTTGTACAATTTAACTTTCTTTATTTTATACTTTTTACCAACCCCTCATTCTTTTATAATAGTATGGATAGACTTACTTAAGTAATTAGTTAGTAAATCAGAATCAAAAAGAAAGTTGATCTCCATGGAAACAATACTTTCCTTCACTTTATTACTTGTGCGATACACTTGCAGTATTGAGGAAAACCCCCAACATTTATCAAATTAAAAATGTATAAATAATGAAAAGAAAACTAGAAATAATAGTATAAAAACCACAGACCAATCATTTATTATACAAACTGCATTTATAGTTGATCATCAAAATGCAAAGGGGCCTATATCTATGAATAAGCATATAGATTTAATAGCTATAAATTAAAGGGCCCAAATGATAGCAATGAAAATTTGAGTAAGAGAAAATATAGATCATTTGAATTTAAAATCTCAAGCTATCAAAAGCAAGAAAATTTTGGAGTTTTCGTACAGGGCATATTAATTAACTGTTAAAACAATGTAACTATTATTTTAATCCAAACAAAACAATAAATTCAATAAACTTAAGAACCCAAAGCTTACCATGCGACCACGAAATTCTGGAGACAAAACTCGACTTTTTACCATTACATAGTTTCTATCCTGAGGCAACAAAAATTGAGGACCAAGAATTCTATCAAACTAAAATTTAAAGTGAAGACTTCATGTCCATAAATTTCTAAGCAAGATGCAGTGAATATAAGAACATAAATAGACAGCAGCAACAAGACAAACGCACAAACATCAGTCATTAGATCAAATTTTCAGGAGGAAGAAAATAACAAAAGGGCTAAGATTTTGCTTGTTGGTTGCTAAAGGTTTTACTTGAGTTCAGAGTGCTTCTGTTTTATTTGATAGATATGGCTCAATGAAAGCTTATAAAGGCTAAAGCAATCCTCCCCTTAGGAGCTAGCTTTTGGAGTTGAGTTAAGCTTAAAGGAACAAGCAACTGTTAGATTTGATTTTACGTAGACAAACTACCTATGATAGGCACTGCTAATGGAAATAGATGGAATCACCAGTTAATTGAACCTCTTACCAATTTATGATCTGATCTGAGGAAAGCCTAAGTGACTATGTTCTTGAAAACTCTACAGCTAATTTGAAAAACTAAATTATCTTACTAAATCACAATTTATAATATAAAATTATAAATCGTTAGGCTTGTCGTGATTAGATAAGATATGGCATGACTATGATATTAGACTGTTCCACAAGTAAAGTACCTGTAAAACTTTTAATGTGGTTGCATATGTTGATGGCCTTCCAATCCCAAGCTCCTCAAGCTTCTTAACCTATCATATCATAGGGGAAACGTTCAGAATAAAAAACAAAAGAGACAAATTGCAAAAGAAATGAAAACTGTCTGCCTGCCCTCCTCCTTCCCAACACAAATTATATTTTCATGAACTCCAATTCATGGTGAACACTATATGTGAAAACAGATCTATTTATTTTAGCTAATCCAGAAGATAATTTAAAATTATAAATCATAAATCTGTACATATTGCAAAACTCAACATTAATCTGTACATACTGAAAAATTCAACACATGCATATCTTGCCAAATATAGGATTCAACATGAAGCCATGAACCAGAGTCTTTCGTAACATAATTCCAAATATAACTTGTCAGTGCACAACAATAGAATAGGCTATAGAGATTGAGAAAGGGTGCTTAGCTAACAGCCAACCACAAGATGTAGAAACTTAAAACAGTAACTCGCGCTCAAAAGGAAGAAAATAGTTACTAAAGAGGCAGGCACCAAGCATATAATTCTGAGTAGTAGTCTTCACAATTTCCTATCTTTAAAATGCAGGTTTCAGAAGTTTTACTAAGCTATCATAAAAGAACATGATTAGATGGGAAAATTACAAAGAAATAAAAGACACACATTAGAATACAAAGCTCCCTAGCTCATTGATTTGAACTAGGTGTTACATCAACTAAACGCTATCAGTAAAACTATTAGCTAAGATTATTCAGCTAATGGAAGGATCAAGGTAATACCCTTCAGAAAAGTACACATTGTACTGTTAGAGATGCCAAGAATTTTTAAAAAGAATCAAGAGCATGATAGAAACAAGGTCTTTTCAACAATTAAATTCTATTCAATAGTTGCAATGATTGGCAAAGCTTTATGTTGTATATTTGTTGAAACATAAAAGGAAAAAGGAAAAAAAACAAAAAAACAAAAGAAACCATATTATAAATCAATAACTTGAAAACTAACTTGTAAATTACTTCAAATTGACCTGAATATAACACAAAAACTTGCATTCCTAAACTAAACAATAGCACCATTCAAAGGCTGCATTTAAATCCTAGACTTATGAATTGCCCATGCTTTAAGCCCGAAGACTCTTGCATGATGGAGTTAGACATGTAATATAAATTCATTCATGTGTCTTCACAAAGCCACATACTAGGAGCCTGTTTGGTTTGAAAACAAAAAAATTGTTTTCATTTTCAATTTTCACTTTTAATTCCAAAATGTCACCTTATTTTAATTTTGTTTTGTTATTGTTTTCACTATTTCCTATACAAATCTTTGAAAACAGAAAACACAATGTAAATAAGGAGGCACTTTTGTAATTAAAAGTAACAAGAAACAATAACAAATAACATTTTCTCAAAGTAAACAAATGCTTGTGGACTTTAGTATTCCTTTAATCTTAATGAAAGAAACAAGATGACTTACCAAGGATGCTTCAGAGTACCGTGGTGGCGGTTGTGTATAGTGCTGATTAAGTTCAGTTTGAACAAGAAGTAGTGGATCTGCTGGCTATAAAATAAAAGTCAAAGAAAGGAGATGTGTTTGCTTAGTTTATGGCATCAATAAATGCTCAAGCATAAATCAAGAGTAATTAAGTGACAAAAATAAAAATGGCAATCAGTCTCATTCTGCTAATAGGATATGTCCATATCCTGTTTAGTTGTACAACTTCCACCATCATAAATGGAATTCAGAAAAATGATATGCATACAAGGTACCCTAAGGCAAGGTGAGAACAATTAGCAAAGGGAAAAGGCCACATGAAAACATTTTTGAGCCTCCACCAAATATCTAGGGGTTCTAGGAAAGTTGATCCTCAACATGGTATTGAAGTCCCTCTATGGACAAAGTGGTCAAGAGTTTGATTATTGTCAAACATGGTATACATCATTGACGCTTTAAGCCCATAGAGAAAGGGGTCAGAGACTAAAAACTATTCTTGAGATTCCACCTAACATTAGTTTTACCAAATAAGAGAAAACTATAATAAAGAAAAAAAAAGACATTATACTAGGGTACTTGCTGGTCTATCAGTATATCCATCTAAGTCCCCTCCCTTCTGAAAAAACCAATCGCAAATCACCATTAGGAACCCAAGAACAGCATTCTATCTAAATAAACTGAAATGGCACAGACTACATAAATGGATAAGTCATGAAATTGTTTTCAATAGCATAAATAAATACATCAAGTTTTCAAAAATATTACCTTCAAGGAATTTAGTACCCCAAATGTTTGATCACGATTGGTTCCATCACTATCTTTATCTTGAACAGCTTCAGAATCAAAGTCCTAGAAGGAGACAAAACTCAAAAGTATGTTTTATCATGCAATGCACACAAAATAGAAACACATGCATATTCACACATACATCTATATTTCATTTGGGTTGTGGAAACACTGGAATGATCTTTGCATACATATACCAAACAAGATTTGAAGTTTTTACAAAACATTTTAAGCTATAATTCATGAGATCTGGTTCAAATTCAAAATATGATTTGAGCTAGAAAGTAGAGAGCAAACTTTAAAACACATAGCATCACTTATGAACATTTACTTTTATACAAGCATTAAATTTGAAATCCAACTGCAATATATATTCTCCCAGATGCAACTAACTGGGACTTCAACTCAAAACAACACTATTAAGAACAACAACAAATTATTTAACATAAAATAATGAATAATGCCACAAATTTAGTCCCTAAAATTACAGGCACAAGTCAATTTAGTACTTGAAATTACAAAAATGTCATAATCCCTAAAATTACCAAACAGCGATCATTTTAATCCCTAATAATAATATTACTGAACAACAATCATTTTAAACCCTAAAATTATAATAATAAGGAATAAAATGATTGACATTTAGTTATTTTAGGAACTATAATGGATTTTTGTAATTTAAGGGACTAAATTGATTGGTGCCTGACTTTCGGGGACTGGTTAGGAAAATTACTCGAAAATAACAATAGTAACCATATATATAAACAAATAAAGATCATTATAATTTGTCAGGCCTCGTCCACTGGTATATGAATAATTTCACAGTATCATTTATCGGCAGCAACTAACCATACCACAAAAACTGCCCGGTATCCTGGAAACTCAACCCTTGAGCTGGTCGACCGTAATATAATAGAGTGATCAGCATTTCCAATATCAAGTTGTATCTGGAATTAAAAGGACATGAGGAAAAACATCTGATCATACACAGTAATGACAGATTGAAGCAGTTGAACTTTATATGAATGCAAACGTAATTTTAACAATCAGAAAATGTTACTAACTCTCGAGTACACACATAATCTACCATTAGTTGACCTGGAAAAATAATGTTACCATGAACAACTCTAACATTCCAAATAACCAAAGTTCCACACAACAGAGCAAACCAATCCTATCTGGCTACCTGCTACAAAGATGAGGGAGAAATACATGGAAAGTGCATATTTACCAATTTTTAAGAACATCCAAAACAACCACCGACCAAAGTACACAAAAGAGCAGGATAGATGAAAAGCCTGAATCACAGACCAAAGCTAAGCTGCTACTGATATGCTTACACAATGCATATATCTTATGCAACTCTTCCCGTCAAAAAATATGGAGAAACATCACCTGATTACATGAATAAGGCTTTAACCAAAACTGAGTAGCAACCCAACAAACCACAAAGTAAACAACAAATACCATCAAACCAGCCCACGCAACCAGAATGGGAGTCCAGCAACCTAGACCATTTGCAGTAACTACCAATGTATCTATAAACTATAGAAGATACTGTCAGAATAAATACTCTAGCAAAACTATTGCAGAGGGAGGGCCTCCTAATCGCAACATTGCCCAAGGGGGTAGTCCATAGCAATGCCTTTGGGATAACTCAGTCAGTCAAAGATATTAAGAAACAAATATGAAATCCAAATCTCTTCACTGTTCTGAAGCTTTTAACTTTTTCAGAATAAACTATTTGGATGCTAGACATCATTTGAGATAGGATTATTTTTAAGGGCACTTATTAGAGTCCAGACATTACAGTTATTTTTTTAGAAACATATACATGTTTGTATTACTGTATTTACTATTTTGTGGCGCTTGTTTTTCATACATGCAGAGAGGTTGTTATGCTTTGTTACAAGCTGCAATCTCCTAGGCTCTAGTTTTGCTCTCTTCCTTTTTTTTTCCGTTTTCTTAGAGGATGTATTACACTCTTCCTTTGTCCTTTTCTCTTGTAATTGCATTTCTCAGCCAATAAAACGAAAAAGTGGCTCAGTTTTAAATTCTAAATTAATATACAGCCAATAATTTAGGTACAAACCAGAGATATAATATAGCTAGTGTAAAAAATACTTTCAAGGTTCACCCACTTTATACCACAAAAAGAAATTCAGTAGTCTAACCTGCTCAAAGATAGCTGGTTCCATTTGACATGAAACTGTTCGTGACCAAACAAGTGTGTAGAGCTTCAAGGACTCCTCATCTAGTACTGCAGCGAGCATTGCTGACAAGTCCAACAAGTAATATTATTACCAATCACCCTAGGTCACTATTGAAGTAAAACACTCACAAAAGAAGCATGTAATACATGGTAACTTGCGTATGTCAGTTGGTCTAATGGCTTCATGGGCCTCTTGTGCATTTTTAACCTTTTTAAAATACTTTGGTGCATTTTGTGAGACAAAATCTTGTCCGTACCTGCATAAAGAAAATTCTTGTTCATGTACATGAAAAACAATCAGAATATGCTTAAACAACATAAACTAAGCATTCAAATTTAAAAATAATAATGCAACATTAGACAAATTTGCTAGCTGCATTGAGGAAAGCCATCAATAAGTGTCTTGCATGTAGACAGAATTGACTAGACTTTCTTTCCCCAGACCATATATTATGCATCCCAAACAATAATGCTTAGTTTTCTTTTTCATCCAAGAGGATAAAATTGTAGCATTTGGGTTTTATGAAGTCTATAAAAATAATCATACTAAAATTTAAGATGTCATTCCCCCTCCCCACCCCCTCCTCAAACTTTCTTAAATAGTTCTAAATATTTATTATTTGAGGATTGACCCAGATTTTCATTATATCTAGGAAAATTGCCTAGTGTAACATGTCATTGGCATTGATTTTATAAAGCAAAGTTGTGCAAATAAAATGACTTAACCTTAGAGTGAACTTTGGGGTTCATTAACTTGGAGTATTTCTCTATTCAACAAAAGAGTTAAGAATAGGGTTAAAAAATAGCACTAAAACAATCATGAAGGATAAAGACAAAATTCTTCGTTCTATGTCACAAACAAACAAAATCAAGGAGACTCAAGAATCTCCAACTCAAAGGAATATGAGCTTGGGAATATAGCAATTCCATGTTTGTTATAAGTTTTTCAAAAAAAAAATCCTGGGCATAATTGATTCCAAGGATTGAGTCATTTACATTTTGCTTGGATTTCAGTCCCACAATGAAATGTGTGCAATTGGGAATATAACATTCCCATGGGAAAGTTGATATTTATTATATATTCTAATTAGTAACTTCCATTCCCATTTTTATTTTTTATTCTATTATTGCAATCATAACCAAACATGCTTTTTAGTTTACCCAAGAATAACATTCCTGGGAATTTGATTACATTACATGTTCTGAGTGGAAACCAAAAGAAACACATAATCTTGAATGCTACAAAAATTTGTATCCAAGTTTTGCACAAGGAAACCAGATGATGAAGCCAAGGGAAGGCCATGCAAAAAGGGTAATTTCCTACCCAATAATCCTCCCAAAACTTGGTATGAGAATCATTCGCTACCACCTTCTAGTATAGGAAGACCAAAAGGTGAGATAATGTTAGGATCCAAGGTAAGGGACTCAAGTCCCACCATTGGAAGTATGGGACTCAAGTACGGAATTTATAAGTAAGACCTTGGGCTCTCCAACTACAACGGCTAGCTTTTGTGGTGTGGTTCAACCCAAGGTTCTATGAGCATCTCTCATATTGGTAATGAATTAAAAGTCACTCTAGTAAAGAAGGAGTTCGAGGATCTATTAATATCAGCTAAGTCACTTTTAGAAATAATCTTGAAACCATGAATGCTCAAGGAGCAAAAGAGTTGATTTAACAAAGTGTCCCCATCTCTTCTAAACACAATAGTGCTCTCAGCAAATTTCAAATGAGACTAAAAACCTACTTTTGCAACTTTAATGGTCCCACTTGCAGCTGATCTAGCTTGAAAGTAAATGAGTAAGAACATCAATCACAAAAGTGAACCAAAAAAGGGAAAAAGGATCTACTTGCCTTCACAAGGACTCTGTTAGAGACAAGTTTCCCAAAGGCTTGAAAGTTTACAAGCGGCAAAACTATAGGAGAGGAATTAGGAAATAGGTTGTTATGTTCTGTTTTGAGTAGTTTAGGATTTATCTTATTTCCTTTTGTTATTGTTTTCTGTTACCTTCTGTTATTTTCTGTTACAGTAGTTAGGAGCTTGATTTTAGGAAACATATCAGTTTAAATAAGGGGATTACAGAGGGGAAGAGGCATTGGGAAAATTATTTCAGACTTAGGGTGTTGAGCCACTTGAGAGCTCACTTTCCATTGCTGTAAACTCTGCTCAACTGAGCCAATTCAATACATAATTAAATTTCAGAATCCTTACCATATCAGACTCCAAAAGCAAAACCAAAATTTTGGCTCTCCACTAGCAATTATAGATAAAGTACTAGTTGAAAGACAACCTGAGATTGAACTTCTCCACCAAGAGCCAACACCTTTTTTGCTAAAAGCTTGTCCCAAAACTCTCAATCTTAAGCTTTTACTAATTCTAATTTCAGTACTAGACTAGCTTCTTCTTTTTTTCCATTTCTTCACATCATCCACCGTTTCATTTGCCACCAAAATAGTGTTCAAAATCTGTCTACCAGCAACAAAGGCACTCTGATTATAAGAAATAGTGCCCACCAACACTTCAAACAGATAGTAAGAATCTTTGTAACAATTTCATACAAACTGATGACAAGACTGATGGGTCTATAATCTTTAACAGATCTATCTTTGGATCAAACTCTTTACTGTTTTTCATTAAATCTTGGTTATCCAACTATTTTTTAACTTTTTTTGCTAACTATTTTCAGGGATTTGGGAGAAGGCAAGAGTTGCTGTTGTGCAGCTTTTGTAGTTATCTGGTGTCATGATAAACTGACAACAAGCTCAGCAAGTAAAGCCCACAGCAGAGAGTTCAAAGGTCTTCAAATTGGGATTAGTGATGGGAGAAGAAGGCTATGTCCTGCTGTTTAACACACACCAATGAACAAAGAATAAGAGAATAAAAGGTTAATAACTGCCAAGGATATTCCGTCAGACACTTAGTAGGGCTAAAACTAGCACTGTTCCTTTGTTAGAGTAACGTCCTTTACTAGTATAGATTAGTATTTTAGTTGTAAACAAATAACTATTTCTCACACAATGCATCAGACAGTTTACTTATTTAGAATTCAGCAAACAACATATGGTACAGCCGTACAGTTGAATCATTTTTCATTTTTGTAATGAAAATCATTCAGAACCCATTCAAAACTCTCTCACACACATCTTTCTATCAAATTCTCTCTCAATGTCTTAGTCTACAGATTTTCAACATCCTTGCCTCTTTGGTGTGGAGCTAATTGTCTTCAGACATATGTTTATTTCTGTTATATAGCAGAAAAGAGCTTTACTCTGTGATGCTGTTTTCTTTTCTTCTGTTTCTTATTTCTATAGCTTGGTTGTACCTTTAAGACCATACCTGTGTTATTCCCATATAACCTTCTTTTCTTCCATTTTAATTAAAATTCATCTATCGTAATGTTTTGAAGGCTAAATAGTATGCCATACAGTAACATCATTGTAGCTGTAAGGTTTAAATCTCAACCAGCACATCTGTTGGCAAACTGCACCTTATATGAGACAAATGTCTGAAGAATCTGTTAACTAAAATAGCTAGTACTGTGATTGCTCAGGTTGCATAGAAATAGACTGATTATACATAATAAGCATCAGTAGTAACGAAACTCTGATAGCAAACATATGTAGAAAGATGTAGGAGAAACAGACATCACCTTTCAATGATCAGGGAGCGTATGCTGGCAACAGCTTCATCAGAAATCTAAGAAAAAAAATTCAAAGCGAATTGTTAAAAATAGAAGAGATCATCTGCAGACAAAATTACTGGGTTTGCAGAGAGAAACTCTAAACATCCCATCCACAAGTAAAAATCAAAATTGTGATCTAGCATGGGAAGAATCATGGGAGATTAGTGATCACATTTAAACAGCCAAGATTCATGACATTATTTTCACAGAAAAGCAATGTTGTGTGCGTTGGGGGGGGGGGGGGGTAACAAAAGAAGGAGGATTATTTTGCAAAGGTATGGTCAGCTTTTGTGGACAAATTGATGATATGTGGATATACAATGCATCTAGAGCAGTTCACAGCATTGCACCATATTCATGCAACCACCAAAGTGATACCTACATGGAGTCCATCAGTTCTCATATAAGTTATCAGACCCACTGCTACACCATCAGACAGTTCAACTCCCTCATAGAGCTTCTGTGCAAGCTGCACGCAGAAGCTAATTCAGATTAATGATAAAAGTAATTCTAGCAAATGTAAAATAGTAAATATTAATCACGTAGGAAAAGTAAATCTTATTCAGTACATCCATGAATAAGTTAAGTTGGGGAAATAGATTAGGAATAAATAAAATTTCCAGCACCTTCATTGTGTGACTTGCTGTGAAATGCAACTTGTTTGCAGCATCTTGCTGAAGTGTTGATGTTATGTAAGGTGTTGGAGGATTTCTTCGAACTTTGTTTCTTTTCAAGCTAACAATCTGAAAATTGGCTGAGTCTATTTTGCTTTGGATATCTCTTGCATCAGTACCAGAAGTAATTGAAAACTGATTCAACTTTTTTGAATCAAAATGGGTCAAGTGAGCAGAAAAGGTAAGGTCCTTGTTGGACCCCACTTCTTCCTTTTTCAATTGAGCCCAAACAGTCCAATACTCCTTCGGTTTAAATTCATCAATTTCCATTTCTCTATCACATATAAGAGAAAGTGCAGCAGATTGAACTCTTCCCGCTGATTGGCATCCTGGTAACTTCCTCCATAGTAATGGTGAAATGTTAAACCCAATCAAGTAATCAAGAGCTCGTCGGGCCAGGTAAGCATGAACCAAATTGACATCAATCTCTCGTGGTGTTTGTAGAGCACCTTTTACAGATTGTTCAGTTATCTCGTGAAAGACTACCCTTGCTACAGAAACATTTTCGTGTACCACACCCTGTTGTTGTAACATCTCAATGATGTGCCAAGCAATAGCCTCTCCCTCACGATCAGGATCTGATGCAAGAATAAGGTTTTCTGCTCTGTGGAATAACATAAATGAATTAAGCAGGATATGTGTTTGTCAACCACTTATGCATAAAAACAGCATGCAATGGAAACAACAGCCCCACAAAAGTAATCATGACACGTATGCATTATTATAATAACATCATATTGAATGGCCATTAATTCCCAGGAAACTATGCATAACTGTAATACCAACACACATGCATGCGGCACAAACACCATTACACAAGTATAGCCATCCAATGCTGCAAACACATAGTAATTGGATGCAAGGGTTGAGAAAATTTACCCGCTCAGTGCAGCCTTGATACTCTTCAGATGAGTCCAGGCAGGTGACGGAACCTCCCACACCATGCTAAAATCCTCGTCAGGTCGCACTGATCCAGACCTTGCAGCCAAGTCTCTCACATGACCATAGCTTGGCAAGACTTCATACATATCCCCAAGGTATCCCTTAATAACCTTTGCCTTTGTAACAGACTCCACAACCACCACAGACTTTCCAGAGGGAGGATATAACGGCCTGTGCGTATATTTCCATTGAGGTTTCACCTCTTCATATTGACTAGAGTTCCCATTTTCCTTCACAGAATTAGAATTATCCGGTATTTCTTGAAGAGCACTCCTGGTCGAATTCTTCTGGAAAACACATTGTCAATGTCATTCAGAAAAGCACGGATTCAACATGGGACACAGATACAAAATAATACAGACATGAAATCAGAAGCTCAAAATACAACAAATATCAAAATCCATAGAACACAACACAGCTACAAAATTATCTGAAATTAGAATAAAATAAAAATCTTAAATCACAAGAAAAAATTCATGTTTTAAAAAAACCAGAGTCATTGTAGACATGATAAAATACAAAAAAAAAAAAAAATCAAATAATTACTACGGCATTATTTTAATTTGTATCGGTATAAAAATTTTAAACATAAAAGTAAAGAAAAAACTATAAAAATGCAACTAAAAGTTTTCAAAGTGCTGAACATGAATACATGTCCACGTCTACTATTTATAAGTAAGCATCCATAAACTCCATGCTTTGAAAATCACCAACTACACTAACCTTTGAAACTGTCTTTTTCCCTTTGGAAGAAGATTTTCTAGAAACTTCTGCACCAGCATCCTCTTGTGATAATAAATTGCTGGCAGAAACCTTGCTCTCTTTCTTGCTCCTCGACGGTTTCTTCTTGTTCTTCACCGTTTTGGTGTCCTCTTCACCACTCGCGGTGCATGACAAACCCTTCTTCTCGTCGCCCAAGCTTCTAGAAGCTACATTGCTCCCATCCTTATCTTTTCGGCGGAAAACGAAAGCTTTCGCCCTTTTCTTTTGCTTACTATCCGCCACGCGCGACGAAAAGCTCTTTGTAAAAATATTATCACTAACCAAACCACTTCCAACACGAAACGGAAAACTGAAAGCAGTAGACGACGTCGTAGACTTCACAACGGCACCGAGAGAGCCAAAGTGGCTCTTAGAAGGGAAAACCAAACGCTTTTGGCATCGAACTGTGTTGCAGATGCCAAAAGTGGCGTGCGGTGAGAGCGAGATTGACGGATTGTGAAGCGCCTTGAATTGCAACTGCGACGTCGTTTGAACAGAAAAACACGGTTACACTATTGCAATGATAATAATGAATGAAATAAACAAATTAATTCAGATAATGAATGATTGAAAAGAAGAGAAGAGAGACCATGAAGTGGCGAAGAGAGAGAGGGGTTGAGGAGGAAGGAGTGGAGAAGAAGCTTCTGTGAAGTTTAATCATTGTTATCAAAGCTTCATTTCAGGTGTGCCATTACTGTGATGACGAGTGAAGAGGGTTTTTGAGAAGAGGGTTTAAGGGTAACGGCAAATGGCACTGTCTCTGCCAATGCTACATGAGATTGCGAAGCTTTATATACTTTGGTTACTTTGTTTATGGTTTTGTTATCCTTCTGTTCCTTTTTTTTTTTTTCCTTGGAACAAATAATGGACACTAACTGGGCTGGGCCCATTTTTGGAGTGACCAGATTGTTGACTTTGAGCTTTTTAGAGAAACCAAAATGGAAAAAAAAAAAATATATATATATATATATATATATATATGTGTGTGTGTGTGAGAGAGAGAGAGAGAGAGAATTATTAAAATATGAGTGTGATTTTTGTAATTTTTAAAAAATTAAATTAATAATAAATAATGGGTTTGATAATATGTGTTTGAAAATATCTAATTTTTAATAAATTTAAGAATGTATATAAAAAATATATTAGAAAGAATGTTGTTGGTATTTCTTTTCTTCGAAAAAAATACTATTAAAATATTTAACTCAAATGATACATTTGTTTGTATTATTGTGAAAATGAAAAAAAAACATAATTTTGGAAAACTGATTCCTAAAAATGAGTCAACTATTTAATTTTAATTAGACTTAGATAAACATGATTTTTAATAACTTTCCTGCTCAAAAACATTAAATTTAAACGCTTTCGATATAAATAACATTTCAACCCAAATGTCTAATAACATTGAATACTTTTATGGGGTGTGAACTAAGTCAAATTTCTTTTGTCCTTTTTAGACTCTTGTTTTAAAATACATAAACGTGACTTAATAAAATACTTCTAAACTTTTGCAAATGCATTCTTTCATTTATTATTAGCAGTCCCAACACCCCTTTTGGTTTCTATATATAAAAATTGCATGTTTTACATCACTTCTAATGTAATGTATAACATACACTCATTCGGATATACATAAATTTTAATATAATTCAGGTCAAGGTTAGGAACAACTTTCTTGGCTTCGTATGATAAATGTGAAATTTTAGTTTGGGGTAACAATTATTTTGAAATTAAAGAAATACCTTTTAAAATTTTTTAAAACAAAATATTAATTAAAAAATTAAACTTCTACGTTTAACGCTACACTTTTTATAAAATATTTTTTTAGTTTTTACAATACTCTTTAGAATTATTCGTGACAATTTTTTTATTATTTTAAAATCCTTATCGCTTTAAAAGCTTCGGTGTATTTTAAATCATTCATTAAGAAAACAATTTTTTTTACCGTATCACTGTTAAGTATTAGGAAAGAGGATCAATGGAGTGTGTAATCGAATGAACTTATTTTTCCTAAAATTAAATTATTTAATTATTTTCTTGATTCTTATAAAAAAAACATTTTGTGTGTAAATGAATACATAATAACAAGAAAAAAATATATAGTTTTACAGGAAACTTTTTATCATACTAATAACAAAATAATTATTCAAAATTGTTTTATATATCAAAGTGTTTAGTAAATTTTATTCAATGTTTTTATATCATGTATTTGTAAAAAAAAATATTATAAAAATCTCTTATTTTGTAAAAAAAAAAAAAAAAACAACTTAAATGGTAAGTATGTTATAATGAATAAAGTAACGCAAAACAAATTGAAATATTTTGGTGAATGTTTACACTTGTTTTAGGGTACTTATTATGAATTAAAAATAGGAAATATTAAATAATTTAGTCGATATTTTATATATTCAATATTCTAATCAATTGTTTTTCATTTAAATGCAAAATATTTATTAAATAGATTAATTCAACAAGTATTCTTAATAAAAAAAACATAAAAAATATGCGGTATAAAAATGCAAAGTGAATTAAAGTAACAATTGTTGAAGCATTAGAAAATGTAAATCCAGAATTTCTTATCTCAATTAATGAAAAAAGTGATACATATGTAAAGAGGCATTCATTGCATATATAAAAAACGGTTTTAACAATAATAATAAAAAGCATAGACCCCACCTATACATTTTATAATTTTTTATATAAAATGATGAGTAAAATATGCAATGACCTAAGTGGTGCTTTATTACAGTGATTTGATTAGCATTAAATATTAGTTGCAGTAGATTGTCCTTCCTCTCTCACTTTTTTTATTTTTTTAATGAAATTAATAACTAAAGTAAATAAAGACATAGAATAAAATAAAAGCAAAACTAATTTGTATATATATACATACACTGTGAAATAGGGTAATTTTCTAAATTTTATTTTTTATATATTCTTTTTTACTTTTCTATTCTTATTATATTTTAACTTAATTTTCATTTTCAAAATTTTATTGTAAGAGAAATAATTTATTTGTTTCAGTTTAATCTTTCATTTTGTTAATTTACTTTTGTTGATTTTATTTCATTTTAATAAACATCAACCAATTAGATCTTTATTAATTAGTATTTTTGTCTTTTTGTCATTTACAACATTGACATCGTTATTTTATTTATTTATGTTTCTCTTATTTGATTTTTGTAACTAAATATAGTTAAAAAATTTACTTAATTAACAATTAAAAATTAAAACACTAAAATATAATATAATATATAATTAAAAAATTAAAAGGTTAAAATATTATTTTTTAATATCAAATTAAAATGGATATATATATATATATATATATAATGTCATATGTCATGTTTTCTTTGTTGTATAATTTAAATTTGTACAGTGAAAAAGACATTTAACAAATATTGATTTTTTTTACAATACGGATACCTAAAATCAAATCCAAATACGTTATACTTTCCATGATCAAGTTGAACAATAAACTGTGTAAAGTGTTATCGCTATTATTAAAAGTCGCATTTGAATTGGGTTGATTTTCTTTTTTCCCTAATCACAGCACACTTTTCTGGATCTCCCTACTGGATTATTCTATTATTAGAATTTGTGTTATATAATTAGTTAATTAATTATTATAAAAATTTAATTATCTTAATGGGTTATTACTATAAATTTTAATATAATAAATATGACTAGGCATAATGTAAATTGCGTAAATTTAACTTCTTTACGTCTATCTATTGAGTAAATTGTGCAATAAGCAAACACGCAATTTAATTCTTAAAAAAATATTTTTTTTTGCGTTTTAACTTTTAAATTTTTTTGTTATATAAATGTTTTTAATAAATTAATAATTTTAATACAGAATGAACTTCTTAACAAGTTGATAATTTTACAATTAATTCACACAATAAGAACTTTCAAAAAGGAAATAAATTAACACAACTAACATGTTTAGATATGTACTCATTAATTAATTTCATATGTATAAAAAGTATATCTAGTCATTAGTCACTAATTATTATACATTATTTTATCAATGTACTAAATAAAGATGGTGTAACTTTTAGCTAAGTTCATCAATAGTACTGAGAAACTCCAATTCATTCTAGCTAGTGGGTAGGCCAAAGCACTTTATTTGAATCAATATCTTAAAAAGAAAAGAATTGTTCTCTTCTACACATCCATTTCTCCTAAGTTTCTTCCTTCAGGTGCTTTCCTTTTCACATAGTTACAATCTTGGTTGATTTTGATTATTACTTTGGCAGTTTCTACATAAAATTCACATTATAAAATAAAATTTTGCTTAGGAGTCAAATGTGAAGGGAATGTGGAATCAGTTAACTGAAGGAAACACCCTATGATGTTACTAGCATCTCACAGCTGCAGATAGATGCATACATCATTGATTTAGTCTAACAGAGATACCTTCCCTCATAATGTGGCTTTCCCATGTTAGGTACACTTGTTTCTTCACATTACAAAAGAAGACCCTTCTCACTCAGTTCACGTTCTCACTTTTTTTGTGCCTGCATCATCATTTACTTAAATGCTGAACCTTCAAGAGGGTTCTTCTTCTGGACTAAAAGTAGGAATTTTTAGCTGTTTTGTTTTGTCACAAAATGGTTGGTCTCATTTTCATGGTTTTTCAGATCTGCGTCTTTACTCTTTCATCTTATAATGGGGTGCTAAAAAAAGGGTCTATAAAGCTTGTTTATTGAGTCCTTCCTTTTTGTATTTGTACTTGTAGCGCTTTTTGCTTGAAGTGTGAATCTGTTTCCAAGAGGCAATGGCTCCGAGCTTTGATTTTTCCAATAGGTGGATGAAGGGTTCTTCTCAGAAGGGAACCTCAGTGGTGGTGACAATGGAGAACCCAACTTTTTCTGTTGTGGAGATTAATGGTGCTGATGCTGCATTCAGGCCAGTGGAGAAAACCCGTGGCAAGAATGCTAAGCAAGTCACATGGTTCTTGCTTCTCAAGGCTCATAGTGCTATTGGTTGTGTCACTTGGCTTGCCACTGTTGTGTGGTCATTGTTGGGAGCTATTAAGAAGAGGTTGATTCATAGGGAAGGTGTGCCCTTAGAGAGTGACAAGTTGGAAAGAGGGAAGGTGTTGTTTAGAGTCATCAAAGTGTTCTTAGTGAGTTCTTTGGTGATTTTGGTGTTTGAGGTGGTTGCTTATTTGCAAGGTTGGCATTTTAGGAATCCCAGTTTGCACATTCCTAGGACCTCGGATTTGGAAAGCTTGATGCACTTGGTTTATGTTGCTTGGCTAAGGTTTCGTGCCGGGTACATTGCTCCCCCAATACAGGCACTTTCAAAGTTTTGTGTTGCTTTGTTTCTTATACAATCGATGGACCGTATGCTGCTTTGTTTGGGGTGCTTTTGGATAAAGTACAAGAAGATTAAGCCAAAGATTGATGGGGATCTCCTCAAGATTGATGATGATGATGATGATATTGAAGGATCTGAATGTAACTATCCCATGGTTCTGGTTCAAATTCCCATGTGTAATGAGAGAGAGGTAAGACCGCAAACTTTTGTTTCTTCTTGTCCCTTATCTGGTTATGCTGTTGCTATTATTTAATGTACCAGCAAAATTCAGTGTATTAACTTTGGTTGTTTATTTTATTTACTCTAGAATAAATTTGGAAATTGTCATCAGAAACTGCTCGGACTTATTATGCTATGGCCATCTTGCCCCTAAATAGTCTAAAACTCCGTCAGGAATTATCTGCAACCATCTAGTACAAAAATGCATTTTGGCCTACACAATTATGAATCTTGAGCTCCTTATTTTCAGTTTCTGTAATACACAGCACTTCTTAATAATTGACAAGATTAGTGTTTATTTTAACAGTGGTGGGATGGTTTGTAGTGTTGGAGGAATTTGTAAGTATTTGTCACTTATAAACAATCAGCACAACACATGATTTTTCACTGAATGGAATTTTAATCTTTTGGCTTTGCTTTGCTGATTTTGTGTAGGTGTATGAGCAGTCTATTTCTGCAGTTTGCCAAATTGATTGGCCAAGAGACCGTTTATTGATACAAGTTCTTGATGATTCTGATGATGAGAGCATACAATGGTTAATTAAGACTGAGGTCACAAAATGGAGCCAAAAAGGAATCAACATAATCTACCGGCATCGCTTAGTCAGGACTGGGTATAAAGCTGGGAATCTCAAGTCTGCTATGAGCTGTAACTATGTGAAAAACTACGAGTTTGTTGCAATTTTTGACGCAGATTTTCAACCAAATCCTGATTTTCTTAAGCAAACTGTGCCATATTTCAAGGTTTGAAAGAGAACATACACACATACAATAAGGTTTCTTTGTAAATTCATGTTTACTATATTTTAACATGTGTCCTTTTATTACAGGACAATCCTAAATTAGGCCTTGTCCAAGCTAGATGGGCCTTTGTGAACAAGGATGAGAACTTGTTGACACGTCTCCAGAACATTAATTTATGCTTCCATTTTGAGGTAGAACAGCAGGTCAATGGGGTGTTTCTCAATTTTTTCGGATTCAATGGAACGGCTGGTGTTTGGAGAATCAAAGCCCTGGAAGATTCTGGGGGCTGGCTAGAGAGGACAACTGTAGAAGACATGGACATTGCTGTGCGAGCTCATCTCAATGGTTGGAAATTTTTCTTTGTAAATGATGTAAAGGTGATCATATTGTACTTCAAGAATAATATTCCTATATATGCTAATATGACTAGAGCTAGCTGCTTCACTGTCATTTGAGCTCCCTGAAGCACACTCTTGAATCCTTCAAATTTGTAAATTTTCAGGTTCTTTGTGAAGTTCCTGAGTCCTATGAAGCTTATAGGAAGCAGCAGCATAGATGGCATTCAGGTCCTATGCAACTTTTCAGATTGTGTCTTCCAGCAATTTTGAGGTCTAAGGTACACATCTCATCCTCAGATAAAAGTAATAAATAATAAATAGAAGAATGATAAATGAAAACAAATTCTGTTAACTGGCAAGTATTGCTTACAACAATATGCACAGCCTAAATGACTTGAATTCTCTGTAACTGCAGATATCAGCATGGAAGAAAGGGAATTTAATACTTCTATTCTTTCTATTGAGAAAACTTATTCTTCCCTTTTACTCCTTCACCTTATTTTGCATAATTCTTCCTTTAACCATGTTTGTCCCTGAGGCAGAACTTCCTCTATGGGTGATCTGCTATGTTCCTGTATTTATGTCATTCCTCAACATTCTTCCGGCCCCAAAATCATTCCCTTTTATCGTTCCATACCTTCTCTTTGAAAATACCATGTCTGTCACCAAGTTCAATGCAATGATATCTGGACTATTCCAATTGGGAAGCTCTTATGAATGGATTGTCACAAAGAAAGCTGGGAGATCATCAGAGTCTGATTTAGTGGCGGCCGCAGAAATGGAAACTAAGTCAATAGAACAACAAAAGATCCATAAAGGAGCTTCTGATAGTGTTCTTGTTGAGTCAAACCAATGTAAGGAACATGAAGCAACTGAAGCACCTGTTAAGAAAACTAATAAAATATACAAGAAAGAGTTGACTTTGGCATTTCTCCTTCTAACAGCTTCTGTTAGGAGTCTATTATCTGCACAAGGAGTTCATTTTTACTTTCTGCTTTTCCAAGGAGTGACTTTCCTCCTTGTTGGTCTTGATCTAATTGGAGAGCAAATGAGCTAGTTTTGATTCAAAAGATGAAAGTGGAGAATAAATGGAAAATTAGTTACATGCACTTTCTAGCTGCAAATCAAGCAATGGAGAAAAAGAAGGTTCAGTCCTTTTGATTTGTTTCAAGTTCCAGAGAGTGTTTCTCTTTTGATTCTGTTCTTATGATTCATCCCAAATTTTAAACATAGGGCCCTGGTTATTATATTCAATTCTTGCTCTCAGTTAGATAAGAATGGAAAATTTTTTAGTTTTGTAAGTAGTTGTAGTTAGCATCTATTCTTGGGTTTTATTTGGGGGGAGTTCATATTCAAGTTTATTATTATTATTATTTTACAATTCCATAGGTCTGAGTGGAGTGTAAGCTAAACTTTATTGATTCTTCTTGAACCATAGGGGCCTCCTATATGGTAAAAATGGTACATCTTTCTGTACATTCATTCTGTTTATATAATGTAAACAAATAATTTTCAATTCACCCCTTCTCACACTTTGTTAATTGATCTTATAAATGATAATTTTTTGTTTATTTTAATGTTGTTCCAATTTTAGTTGAGTGTGCTTATAAATTCATCCGAATTTAATCGGATTTGTGGATATATGATTAAATTTAGTCTTATTTTTTATTATTTATATTGATGATTTATCCTAATCAGTTTAGCCTTTTTATTTTTTTATTTTGGTGCAAGAAACTCATATAATTAATGGTGGTATAACAATTATAAAAGAACATGACATTAATAATGAATTGATTTGCAAATTATTAATGTTTATAACGAGTTATTTAATTATAAACAAATGATTTTATTTTTAAGTCAAATGAATTTTGTTTATTAATAATTCAAAACATAGTTTAGTTTAGTTTTTTTTTAACTAGCAGCAATAACACTATTTTTTAACTGCAGTGAATTAAGATTGGTGTTTTACATGTATGAGTGGTAGACTAATAAACCAAAATGATGTCGGCAAGGAAATATAAGAGACAAGTTCATGTGCATTGATAATTTAGTACTTTTATGTGGCCCCTCTTAATAGATTCGCTGTCTGTAAACTGATTCCTACTTAAGGAAACTTAACATCACTGACCCAACTACATAGGGAATGAGGGGTACTCCCTACGTTTGTATGGTATTCATGCCACATGAACATGAATCATGGAGTGTTTAAGTATGGAGTTGGTCCATTCCCTTCAATGGATATTTCAATCATGATTATTATTTTTAAAACATTTTCCCTGAATTATAAATTAAAACTCTTCAGTTTTAGATATAAAATGTGTGTGTGGGCAATGTCGGATCTGGATCTTAGTATTTATATTATTACTTAAAATTAAGTGACATATTACCTTAAATAAAATATAAAAATAATATTAAAGTATAATATAAGTATGTCAGATAAGACGATATTAAATTTGATGTTGATATTTTTAACAAAATCTCAACGTATTAGAAAATGACATTCTTCTTTATATTTAGTGAATGCTATTATTATCTCTCTATCTAAAGAAGATGAAGCTTCTCTGATAAGTTTGGAAGAAAGGAACGTCTTCTATAAATTTAACAAATAAATGAATTGACAAAATTTATCCTACATTGTATAAGAGTGTGATTAGCAAGATACTTAAGCTAATTAAAATTTTATTTTCTTAGTTGAAAAACAAAAATATTTGTGTTTGATAAGGTGAATAAAATAGGTAGTTATTAACATTTTTTTTTCGAAAGCTACTCTAATTAGCATTTTTAAAATGTTATTTTTCAGTTACATTTTTGTTTATCTTAATTTTATTTTTTTTATTTCTTCTTTTATCCCTTCAATTTTAAAAACTTTGGTGAATTTTTTCATGTTCAACTTTTCTAAGTAACTTTGATAGTTATATGTTACTAAAGTATAATTAATCATTAAATCTTGTCACAATATAAAAATACCAAAATAATAATATAAATTAATTTATATGTTCTCATTCCAGTAATAAAAATATTTTAAATGAATAATATTAAATTTTTTTAAGTATTAAAAAATATATAATTATTAAATTTCAAAATTTAAACTAAGAATTAATGATATCTTTACTTGTCATTTTATATTTATTTGACAGTTCAATAGCTAATTTTATCAAACACTTTTAATTTAGTTAAATAATTTTTTAAATTTTATCTTTCAACTTTTAGCTAAATTTTTTACTTTAATTTAGCTTATGCACTAGTTTTGAAATGATCTATGAATAACTTCAAACAATAAGAATTTGATTAGAACACACTGATATTGTAAAAAAAAATTATGCGGTTATCCAACTGTGCAATGTTACGTTAGTGATAGTTGATATGAATTTAAATAAAAATTATTAACCAATGATTGTTTCAACAAAAATAATTGGAAAGAGGAATTTATAATGTTTTTAATTTAATATTTAATTAATAAAATAACATTGTAACAATACTTAAAGTTTAAAAAATAATTAATAAAAATTGGAAGTTTAAGATGACTTAGTACTTTATCCATATAATCTAATGTACAATTATCTTACCATAAAACAAACAAAACTTTCCTCCTTTTGTATTCCTTGCAATAAATTTTTAAGCTAGTACAAATTTTAACGTATTGTTAAGATACATCAATAAAAAGTTAATTCCATTTAAAGTCTTAAACATTAGAACCTTAAGTTAAAATTAGATGGTATGCATGCATAACTTGCAAGTTATTTCTAATTCTATTTATATTTGAACCTTTCTTGTACACAAGGTATAACCAAGCATATTTTTTTTCTTTGACAAAGCTCAACTTTGATTGCTGGAAATGAGGAGGAAATAGAAGGAAAAAAGAGTGACTTTAATAGGAAACGAAAGAGAGGAAGAAAAATGGTATGAATTTTATAGAAGTACGAAAGAAAAATCCATCATAAGAAGTAATATTTAGAAATGGAACTAAAATATTTTAAACATTCAATTCACCCTTAATGAAGTACATTATTTTCAATAATGTCATGTTTGCTTTATTTAATCGTGACGAAATTCTAAGTTTAATATCATCGATAAATATAGACTAAATTAATTTTAACAGTACTGATTATTTCTTGATTTGCAAGAATCGATTTTGAATGTAAACGAATTAGGCCCTATGTATTAATACAAGGACAAAAATTATTTTGTTCTACGTTTTGTATCCTTAGATTCTCGTTGAAAAATCAATAAACATAAATTTAATGCAGAAACTATAACTAATATTATTGAAATAAACGAAAATTTAAATGCAATTATACACGAAGCTAAACACGCACTTTACATAACTTATTCCTAATTCTCGCACCGAAACAGTAATTAATTTGGCATGACATTTCATACTACGAAAATTTTAGACACAACAATTATTAAAAGGAAACAAATAACAAAAATAAGTGAAGACTTGTAATTTTACCCTTAAAATTTAAAGAAAGATAACCGCGGGAATAATGATATTTGCCCATACTTATATTAATATATACTTACTCGAATTAAATAAAGTGAACAAAATGATTAAGTAAAAATAGTTGATTAGATATATTTGATAATCAATTCAAGTAAATATGCTGTGGTGTGTACTTATACGGGCATAGTTATCATAGTCGTTGCTGTGTTCTTTGGGACGATTATGCCAAATCACCAGCTAACTTGCCATACTATCGATAATGGCTATCTAATTTTGCTCGCACCGGCTTGTGTCCATAAATGCAACATTTTCCTTGTTTGGTACATGTCCACGTTACATATGCAACTTGGTTAACTAAAGCAACATTCACAAATCATGCACCCTCACACCCAAAACTCAATCGCCCTAACTCAAGACACATTAATGGCAGAAGACACCCAGAACCGTTAACTGTGTGATTGGGCCCACAAACAGATGCCTCGATCATATCATCTGTCTAAACTCAAACCCATCAAAAGTAGCAATAATACTAATCGAGTATCCATTGCTAGCAACGGCTTTTCCTCGCCAAATGAGTACCCATTGTATATCTTTACTCTGTAGTAACCAAGTTGAATATCAAAATTCAGCATTCGATTCATCCAGCAGAAAGAATCCAGAATATATCTGAAACTCCAAGCAATAATACTAACGGGCACCTACTATTTGTTAAATAGGAGCTCTTCAGACAAACATCACATAACTTAGACGTCTTAATAGCATAATTAATCAGGAAATATCAGGTTACGTAAACATTCATGCTAATGTTATAGATTTACACCAAATAAACGCTGATAAAATAAATTTTCAACATCTGTGACGGTTATTCTTCTAGATGCTAAACAGCTACTATGATTTTTCACGGAAATAGGTTACAAATGAAAATTTTACAATTTCTGTGCTACCTTTGAGATATATATAGAATAGACCTCACCATAAAACTCAAATCCTCGATCCCCTATGTTCCCCAATTAAAAACACCGCAAATATAATGAACTACGATATGTAACTTATTTCCTACTGGGGTTCAATTCCGGGTAGACAATAAGTGAAGACAGGATTTGAATCCCAACAAAAGACGGCCAGTCATGATAAGGTTATGCAGTTCGTGATGTATAATTATTGACGGCAGGGGGCGACAATCATGTTCAACGCTTAGAAAACAAACGAATTATGAAAGTCACAAATCAACCTTTTACTTAGCTACTACGAAAACCCTTTCCTTATTCTTTAGGACCAAGACTTAATATCACACGACTTGGAAAAGCCCAACTAGTGAATGATGTAAGTACCAGCAAGAAGTATTTGATGCAGACCCGCAACAATTAATAGTTAATAACAAAAATTCATTAAAATTTGAGATGCACGGTCACCGGCAGTGAGTCATTGAAATTGAAGAGCATGTAGTCAGCTCCAACTCTCAACCATTTTGAAAATCTCAGAGAACGGCAGCCAGGAAATACATCCTAGTGAAGGAAAAGCACAAAACCAATGAAGCAGTACAGAAGAAACCTCAATAAAGAAGAAAAGCACATACTGTATTGTAGAAAGATCTGGAGACTCTTTAACAAACTAGTAACAACTACCTTAAAAAGACTATTACCTGCAATGAAACTACAAGTATTCTACATAGTAAAAGAAACACAAGCTAAGACATAAAGAAAGTAGCTAATCCAGGTGTAGAAACTCAGGGCCTTGCCCAACAAAACAGATTCATACTTCAGTCCAAGCACCACTAGATTAACAAAATCTCACTATTCTCTTAACAATCACAGTTACCAACTCTCACAATCAACTTCTGCTTCGGCGACGTTCCCTAAGGCCATTTCTGCATATTATTTAGAATCATCATACACGTCAGTACAAATGCACAACAATGAATATTGATTGCAGAATTAATAACTTGTCAACTCAAGCAAGTGGAACATAATATGGCATGCAGGCTGCTTCATTTAACAAAAAGGAATTGAGAAAATATGTTGGTTAGACACTTGGTCAGGTGGGGAGGGGGTCCAATGCATAAAGCCCTATTGTCACTTAAAAATAGATTCCACTCTTGAGAAAATATAATCTTATCAAATAACAAATCATGCAATACATTTTACATCTTACAATAAAATAAAATGCAACTCAAAAATCAGGCATATCCCAATGATAATAAATAACAATTAAAAAACAGACCAGATAATATAATTCTATGGGTGAACATAATTCAAGGAATATAAAACCTACCCATTAGCATATGGTACCTCCTCACGCCCACGGTAAGGAGGTGACCTGCTGTAGCTGCGTCCACGAGGTGACAAACTGCGACGCCTTGGGGACCGGCCGCGCGGACTGTAACTCCTGGTTCATATCCAAGAAAGGTGTGAAATGAACATAAAGACTTATAAGGAACAATATTATTAGGACATACAAAGAGACACAGCCCTTCAACTATAAGAGAAATAATATGCATACTGCTTTTGTCATAACAAATAGCACAATTCTGAAACGAAAAAGGGTAGCAAAATACATATATTTGCAATGTTAACTACTTTTAATTAATAAAAAAGAAAACACAGACTGTTTGGTTTCTGAAAACATTTTCTATTTTCATTTTTGTTTTCACTTTTAATTACAAAACTGCAACCTTGTTTTCATTCTGTTCCCTGCTTTCTAAGACATGAACAGAGAACAGTGAAAATAGAAAAAAATTGTTTTCAGTGTTTTCCTGTACAAATATTTGAAAACGGAAAGCAGAATGAAAGCAAAAAATGAAAACAGAATACATTCTCTGAAACCAAACAACCGCTTAAATTTCAAACCACAAATCATAGTCATGATATCATTATAAACAGGTGGATTAACAGCAATTCTTGCTGCATGATCATTAAATAAAAATACCATATAGAGAACATAATCTGCAGGAAAATACAAGTTCCCCACACAATTGCACATGGGATCAAAAGAAAATATAGGAAAGCAATTTCACCTTCGCCCATAACTTGGGCTCCTACGAAATCGGGGTGGACTACGGCTACGGCGTCTTCCTGAACCACCACGCAAGCGACATTCACGAGCAAAATGACCAGGTTCACCACACTCATAGCATTTCAAGTCAGAGCCACCAGAACGACCACGACCACCACCTCCACCTCTGGAGTTGTGAGAAAGCTCAACCCTCCAACCATTCTTGCCTGCTCCATAGAATAGAAATGAAAAAGCCTAATAAATAAAAAGTGATACAACCATAATTGTAATCCAAGTGGCTACATCTATTAGAGAGAATCAAACAGTAACCGTATTTGATACTTAAAACCCTAATAGAGAATCAACTTCAAGCAAAAAAACATCACATTGCTGTTAGCTTTTAACACAAATAGGAATTAAACAGAAAAATATTGGCAGCATTGAACCACAACCTGCAAACACATTAATCTTTAGGCTGATCATCTCAGTAAAGATCAAGAGAAAGAGCACTGACATAAAAGGATTAACAGAAGCCTAAAAATTATATACATATAATTAAATATGTGCATCACGTGTTTAAACAAAAATAACAATAAATTGCACTTAAAATAAACAGAGAGAAAATAATACTGCAAAAATAACAATTACCAAACCTTATTTCACTATGTGGGGTTTACTACAAGGATCACACAACATCACTGAGCTATATCAAGAACCAATTATTTTCATTAAATCCATTTACAGAATTACAGTAACATCATTTTCAAAGGTTTCAATTTCAACTTCTTATAGAAAACAATTAATAAGAAAATTAAAACATGGTATAATCCATGAGAACACAATATCATCATATAGGCATAACGGGGAAAAAGTTCTTCATTCAGTAAAGACAATGATTGTTTTACCATAATATTTTCAGAAGTTCATTTGACCACTGGTCGATAACAACTTATTGGAGCATACAAGTTGCTCACAGGGACATACACAGCACACAGGCAGCCTCACATGGCCCAAAGTTTAATCGTAGTAGCACACATCTCACAAAACAAACCCAATATGCAACAGAAGTGTAGGTCGCGATAACATTCCAAAGCAGTGCAAATCCTCTGTGTTCACACTCTTAATTCTCTTTACATGCAGTAGTAGTAGTAGTAGTAGTCAAACTGTACAAATCAGCAGACTTTGACGAAGAAGACTTAACGAAAAAACCATTACTGCAGATAGAGAGCAGCATCTGCTTGCCCAAAAAGAAGACTTAAATAGGTAGTTGAGGAAAACCCTTCAACATATCAACCGGAAAAAAAGGGGGGAAAAACAATAACACATTAGCAGATAAGCATGTGGTAAATAAACATATTCACATTTTAATTTTAATTTTTTATTGCATTTCAATAACTCTTCTAATCATACCATCTAACTCTCGAATAGCATCCTGTGCATCTCTGCGGTCATCGAAGTCAATGAAAGCATAACCAGGTGGTCTCCGTGCAACCCAAACACTGCATACACATAATATAACTTCCATGAACACACTTGAATAAAAATTATGGACTGTTTGGTTAAAAAATTGTTTCATGTTTTCACTTTTAATAACAAAAATATCATCTTATTTCATTCTACTTTCTGCTTCCAAAAAATTGTATAAAAAACCTTATACAAATCTTTTAAAATACAAATAGTTACTTTTGTAATTAAAAATTTGTGTCTTTTCAAACAAAACAGGTCCTAATTATCAAAACAAGCTTAAATAGCCCCGCAAAAAGAGAAATTGAAGTGTCCAAAACAAAATACCTCCGAATAACTCCGAAAACGCGGAATTCGTCTTCGAGGTCTCTCTCAGTCACTCTTGAATCCAAGTTACCAACATAAACACGAGACATCTTTCCAGAAGAACCTGAAAATCGCAAAAAAAGAAGATCAAATTAAGTTAAAGTAAAAAGGTGAATTCGCATAGGAAAATCGAGAATCGATGAAGAGAAATGTAATTTAGAGAGAAGAAATTGAAAGGGGTAAAAGGTGATGGAAGTGAAGAGAAGAAGAGAGATCTGAACCTGAAGCGATAGAGAGAAGAGAGAAACCCTAGCAGCTTTGGTTGGGTGATAGAGGAATGAGTGGACCTCTTCTTATAAGCCCTTTTTCTTTCCTCTTTTGCTAATGGGAAAACCGATGTCCTTCCTTTGTCCGTTTTCAAATTTCATTTACAACATATATTTTTATACTATTTTTTAAATAAAAAATCATGTTTTATTTTGATAACTTATAATAATGATAAATTTAATTTTTTTATTGAATTAAAATTTAATTTAATTAAAATTGATTCTGAAAAAGTGTATCTAAATTTTTTTACCTTTATTGATTTTAAGAGACAATAAAAAATATATGCTCATAATTTTTTAAATATTTAGATAAAATATAAAAAAGCTAATTTCAAAACTTTTTAAGTGATAATATTTTTAAATAATTAAATAGATATATTATATAAAATAATAATTTATAGTCTTGCAAACAAATGTTAAATCGAGGCCCTAATGAAAAAGTATTATTGTCATAATTTATTTTTTTAATATTTTTGAAATTTTTTTTGTTATTAATTAGTTTATTAGAACAATACTTATTTTTAAAAAATTAAATTTACCAACTGTAGGATAATATAGTTAGTGTGCTTAAGGTGATATGCATTACAAGCAAAGGCAATCCTAAAATGTGAGTATCATGTTGTCATATAAATATAGAACAAGTCTTATAATATTAATTTGCATCTAGAAGATTAGTCTCTTCTAATATACTAAGATTAATTTTTTTTAAATTATTAATATCGAGATATCTTGTCATTCAATATCTCAATATTTAACAATAACATTATACTTCAATATTATTTTTATGATTAATTTTAAATTAATGTTTTTTTCTATTTTAGAAGAGTTAAACAGCCAAAAACAATCAAATTACAAATAAGTTCTAAAAAACCTAATATCATTGAGACATAGGAAAGGAAGTAAGGAGAAGGAGACCTCATCAAAATAATATAAATATATAGATTTTTTGAGACTTAATTTTGCTAAACTATCTTGGTTAGTCTCTCTAAAAACATGTATAAGTTTGATGAATTTAACATATCTTAACAATTCTCTGATATTCTTAAGCATTTTAAAAAGAGAGTGATAAAGAGAATGAACATTTAAAATTAAGATGACAGACTTTTTACCATCACTCTCAATCCAAACTGATTAATATCATTTCTTGATCGTAAGTTGTACTCCATAAAAGATGTTCCAAAGCTCGACTTCAAGACGAGGATTGTAAAAAATTTTACTGCAAAATCCTATTAAAAATTGGCCTTTGCTGTCACGAACCAGGCTTTCACAAGCAACTGTAGCATGAAACTTGGAAACAACATCATTAACATTCAATTTTACATAACCAGGGGAGGAAGAGTCTACCTGACAATTTTAAGTTAATATTGTATTTTAAATTTTAAACATATGACATAATATTATATATTTATATATTAAATTTTGTTTTAACTCTTCCAAACTTTTAATTCAAGTTCCACCACAGCTAATAACACCATTAATATTATCAACAATTAATACAGTATCAATATGATCTTATTATGCTACATTCAAAACTAACAAGAATTTACCTTCTATCATAGTTAATTAAGCAAATTTGTTTCATAATTAAGGCAACTTCAATATTGTCGTGACATGTTTAGCTTTCTTCAGAATGACCACATGCTTTACATACATTATTATAAAAAAAAAAATTGTCAAAAAATTTCTCATCATTTTAATATACACTAGTGTCCAAATGATTCAAGTTTTCATAATTCATGTTATATCTTGAGGTAAATAGTTGAAGTCGTGAATGAAAAACGTGTATTCATATTTTGTTATATTTGAATTTGTTTTTGTGTAAAATTGCTAATTTCTTACAATTAAAACAGATAGTGAATCAAATACTTCAATGATTATGGTTTAGTCTCCTAATAGAATTGACAGAAACAATTTGGATTGATTAAAACCAATATAAATGGGGGCGAATCATTTCATTAATACGATTGAGTAAATAAATCATTAATTAAAAATTGTTCTTCATGTTTTTTTAAACTCTTGAATATTTTATATCATTAATATTTTTTGACATACCATCTAATTAATTCAACCAATTCAAAATGGTTAAATTTTGATTAAAACCTTACTCACATTTTGTAGAGTCCTAATCATTTGCTAGATTTTTTATTTTTTATTTTTACCTAGAAGACTTGAATGAGACACGTTTCTTTTTAATACTCAATCATTTATAAAGTACATTCCAAAATCCTAAAATTAAGGCAATGGTAATGGAGATCAACAAGTGAGAGGTTACCAATTGAAAACCAAATTAAGCTTTAATCAATTTGTCGGATCGTAGTCCACGTTTGTAAGTTATAGCCCCTAGTGGAACATTGGTTAATCTCCAACAGACATTACCAATTTCTCTCTCTTCTTTTTTAATCATTACACACTAATTGCTACCATTTCTCTCAACCATCGCATGACCATAACCCCAACACTTATTGTAAGTAAAATAACTATTTGCTCTTGATCTTCCTCAAGGCATTACAATCATTAGCAACAATCTTTTCCTTTTTCTTAATCATAATTTGTGTGACTCTTGGATTATTCTCAAAGTGTGATATGCATTTCCTATGTAAGTGAATGAACAGGGGATTTTTTTTCATTGCCAATTTAGATTAGCAATACTAGGTTCATGTGTGTAATTTTAATTCCTTACCCTTTATTTGTTTGAAGGCTACTGTTTTACAAACTTCAATTAATTGATATGTTTACTTTCACATTCCATTCTAGTACAGGAGATTATGCTTTTTATATTTTGTTTCATGTGATTAATCCTTGAATTTTTTTGTTCGGTAACAGAAATTGTAGATACAGCAAATCATTAACATAAAGAAGAAAGATGTCATCAAAACCAAGCATGTATGAACCAAAAAATATCCTCATAACTGGAGCAGGTGGTTTCATAGCCTCTCATGTCACTAGTAGACTAATTGACAAGTACCCTAGCTACAAGATTGTAGCTCTCGATAAGCTAGACTATTGTTCTACTTTCAAGAATCTGCAGTCATGTACTTCATCACCAAAGTTCAAATTCATTAAGGGTGATATTGCTAGTGCTGATATTGTGAATCATATTTTGATAGCAGAGGAAATAGACACCATTATGCATTTTGCTGCACAAACCCATGTGGATAATTCATTTGGAAATTCCATGGAATTCACCTATAATAACATCTATGGCACTCATGTGCTTCTTGAAGGTTGTAGGGTCACCAATTGTGTTAAGAGATTCATTCATGTTAGCACAGATGAAGTTTATGGTGAAACTGACTTAGAGACTGATATTGGAAATCATGAGGCATCTCAACTTCTACCCACCAATCCTTATTCTGCAACAAAAGCAGGTGCTGAAATGTTGGTCATGGCTTATCACAGATCTTATGGTCTTCCAATTATTACTTCTAGAGGCAATAATGTTTATGGTCCTAACCAATACCCAGAAAAGCTTGTTCCTAAATTCATTCTTCTAGCTATGAAAGGTGAGAAATTGCCAATCCATGGTAATGGATCCAATGTGAGAAGCTACCTCCATTGTGGGGATGTTGCAGAGGCTTTTGATGTCATACTACATAAGGGAGTGATTGGACAAGTTTACAACATCGGCACTAAGAAAGAAAGGAGTGTGTTAGATGTGGCAGAGGACATTTGCAAGCTCTTTAAATTGAATCCTAAAGATGTTATTGAGTTTGTTCAAGATAGGCCTTTCAACGACAAGAGATATTTCTTGGATGATCAAAAACTCAAACAACTTGGTTGGGAGGAAAAAACTCCTTGGGAGGAAGGACTTAAGATGACAATTGATTGGTACAAGAAGAATCCTGATTGGTGGGGTGATGTATCTACAGCTTTGAGCCCTCATCCACGATACTCAGCTATCAATCTCTCTGATGAAGCTCAATGGTCATTTCAATATGGATACTCAAGGCTTGCAAGGTCATTTACTGAAGTTAGTAGAAAGAATTCAGGGTTGAAGTTCTTGATATATGGAAGAACAGGTTGGATAGGTGGGTTGCTTGGAAAGCTTTGTGATGAAGAGAGAATTGATTGGGAATACGGTAAAGGAAGATTGGAAGATAGGAAATCAATTATGGAGGATATAAGGAATGCAAGTCCAACCCATGTTATAAATGCAGCTGGTGTTACAGGAAGGCCTAATGTTGATTGGTGTGAATCACATAAGGTTGAAACAGTAAGGACTAATGTAGCAGGCACATTAACACTAGCTGATGTTTGCAAGGAACATGGCTTATATTTGATGAATTTTGCAACTGGTTGCATATTTGAGTATGATAAAGTTCATCCTTTAGGATCAGGCATTGGATTCAAGGAAGAAGACAAGCCAAATTTCATTGGTTCCTTCTATTCAAAGACCAAGGCCATGGTAATGTCTCTTAAATTTCCAATTTCATATTATCTATAGTAGTATGGTTGATCTAAAATTTCTAAGTAAAAATTGTTTTATTTCTCTTTTCTCATTGGCCCCTACTTTAACTTGCTTTTGCATTTTTTTCACAAATACTATTTTGACATGGTAGAGTTCAGTTTTGTAAACCATAAAAAAAGACCATAATCAATAGTTATCTGTTAAGAAATGGTAAAAGTTGTACTATGATACATATCATGCATATAAATTTGCAATGTTTATTATACTTGAAGATATGGCAAAATACATGCAGGTAGAGGACCTTCTAAACAATTATGATAATGTGTGCACATTGAGAGTTAGAATGCCCATATCATCAGATCTTAGCAATCCAAGAAACTTTATCACAAAGATTGCTCGTTATAACAAGGTGGTAAACATACCCAATAGCATGACCGTACTAGATGAGCTTTTACCCATATCCATTGAAATGGCTAAGAGGAACTTAAGAGGGATATGGAACTTCACCAATCCAGGAGTCATTAGCCACAATCAGATATTAGAATTGTATAGGGATTACATTGACCCACAATTTAAATGGGAGAATTTTGATTTGGAAGAACAAGCAAAGGTAATAGTTGCTCCTAGAAGTAACAATGAAATGGATGCTTCCAAGCTCAAAAATGAGTTCCCAGAAATGTTGT